GATAGGTGGTGGATCAACCCAAAACCCATGCGGGTTGGATTGAACCCCCTGCGGATCCATCCAAACCCAACCCACGACCAGTCTACTTCTTCCCTACACCCCCTTATACTGATCTCTCTGATATAGAGGGCTACATATATAACCAGTCCTAGGATACTATCTTCCCTAATATCAATGAACATGAAATCACTAAAGCCATTAGATGGGCACCGCCTAATAAAGCACCAGGGCTGGATGTAATTCCTAATAAGGTCTAGCATGCCCTTACTACAGTCCTAACTTTTATATAGGTGCTTAGAACCCTCTTTAATACCTATATATATGTTAGCTATAACCCCTAACACTTTTAAACATTAATTACAGTGATCTTATGCAAAGCAGCACCCCATGACTTCTACCTCCCAAAGTCATACTACCTAATTACCTTGCTTAATACCCTAGGAAAGATCCTAGAGTTAATCATTATGCTCTATATTAGCTGGGCACTTAAAGAGCATAGCCTGCTTCTAAAGGGCCACCTAGGCAGCTGAAAGGGCATCTCTATTAACCACATAATTCAACTAATTTCTAGATAAAGTTCTCCGCGCCTGGGGGCTAGGGAAGAAGGTTAGTATGCTTCTTCTAGACATCTCTAGCACATTTAACAATGTCTCCCATGAATGCCTCCTTTATAACCTCTGAATAATGTGGCTAGGCTGGCTAGCTAACTAGCTACAGTTATTCTTATTAAATTAATATACTCAGCTGTAATTACCAGGGTTTATAAGTGAACTATTTACTACTTATATAGGAATCCTGCAGGGCAGCCCTCTCTTACTAATTCTCTTTCTTATTTTCAACACCCTGCTAATTAAAATGCTTATCCACTGGACTAGTGATGCCTGGATAATATTATTTAGCTAGATTGATGACTCCTATGTAATTGCCACCAGCCATAGCTATGCAGAGAATATGGCTGTCCTGGAGAAGTGCCTGGAAAAGGTAGAGTGGTAGACTGTTAGGCTGTCTAGTATGCAGCTAAATTCATCCCTAATAAGTTTGAACTAATCTACTTTACTAATCTAAAGGAACCGCTGCTAGCCCACAATCTACCACCAGTAGGTCCTATTGACATTTAGGACCCCTATGAGTATGAGGGCTATGATGACATGCCTCTACACCACAGGACTATAACCATTTAACCTATGGAGTTGGCCAGATATCTTAGTATCTAGCTTGACAAAACCCTCTCATTCAGCACCTACTGTATTAGGGCGCTTAACTGTGCAAGCAGCAGCCTGGAGGCGTTACATAGCATTATAGGTTCCACCTAGGGTACCTTGCTAGAGGCTATATATATAATCTATCATGGTGTAGTTATCCCCCAGCTCCTATATAGAGTTGCCGTGTGGTTTAGTCTTGCTAGCAGGTCTATTCTGGCTGTTGAGTAATATAAAATTATTAATGAATTCACTAAAATCCAGAAACACACAGCTATACTAATTAGTGGTGCCTTTTAGGGCACTGCTATAGCCACACTTGACATGGAACTTCACCTACTGCTAATATGCTTGCAGATGCAGCAAATCATTAAGGAAACTACCATTTGAATCCAGACAGAGCCATGATTTACATGCCTATAAGGACTCACAGGGAAGCCACATCCAGCTATAGAAATGCAGCAAAGCAGGCTTACACTGTTAGAGGCACTTAGGAAAAGAGGCAACCTACTAGCCCCTACTATCCCTAGATACCTAGAGGAGTAGAAATCCTAAAAGGTATATGTACTCCCCTATGGGAACTGCCTATACAATGCATAATTAAGGAGTATAAAGCCGCACTGAAAACCCATAATGAAATATATAAGGATAATGACTAACTAGCCATCTATACTGACAGTAGTGGATACCAGGGCTGTGTAGGCGCTGTAGTGGTCTGCCCCCATGCCCAAAGACCTGGGGACCAGATATAGCAGAGCTACCTAGGCACAGAGCTAGACTTAACTATATACACTATAGAACTAGACAGAATCCGCATGGCATTAGATACTGCCAGAGTTAGAGCTGAAGATATAAGGCCCTGCTCAGTCACCCTTTTTACTAACAGCTAAGCTGCCATCCAGGTGGTGTAGAACCTGCACTGCCCCTCTGGCCAGTACATCCTGGGAGCAATATTTCAGAAGGTAAGGGCCCTAGGGGCGCGCGGATTGCCACCTGAAAATATATAGATATGGTAGATCCCCGCGCATGTTAGTGTAGTGGGGAATGAGGCTGCAGATAAGGCAGTGAAGGAGGCTACTGCATGAGGGGAAGCTAAGATTAAATTAAGCTTAGTGGGGCTAGAACAACTAATTATCTGGCTTGCTACAGCAGCCAAATATGCTATCCACCAATAAATCCAGCAACACTGGAAGAAGCAGTGGGATATAGAAAAGGGAGCTAAGCTGACATGGCAGCTGATTAAGGCTCCTTATAAGAAGAACTTAGGCCTATATAAAGGCCTATCCAAGCCACACACATTGATCATCATCCAGATGTGCACTATGCGGATCGGCCTGCACCACTTTCTCTTTAAAATCAAGGCCTCAGACTTGGATTGGTGCAGCTGTAGGGAAGGGTTACAGACACTAAAACATATCCTCCTACAATGTTCATTATACTTAGAGGCCCGTAGGAAGATGGTTGACAAGCTTTTCAATAGGGGATTCTGGGGGAATATATTAGATTATAATATGCTTATGTCTGACCCGCAGGCAATCCGCTACATTGCTGAATTTATGCACCAAACAGGCCTGCTCAGCCAGTTCCGCCACACTAAAATGACTGAACAGGAGCAGGAACAGGAACCAATAGGCCTTACTGGCCTTAGAATAGATGTGGAAGATGATGGTTAGACAGAACCAGTAGCTGCCTAGAAGGGGTCTTTCTAGGCGCGGCAACGCGGCAGATGGAACAACTACATAGAATGGGGTGGGATAGGTGCTTAACGCGCAAGATGGCGCAGGGGAGACATGCAGCATAGTGGCAGGCTACTTTAGTTGTGATTTCTGCTTTTAATATGGCTATACGCTAATTTCTTATGACTTTTCTGCTTTGGGTTATAGGTTAGGCATCTGGATACCAGATTCCTTCTTCATTTGGCGAAGCGCCTGCATAGCTAGTCACTTCTACAGACGGGCTCCAACAGGTTAATAGAATCTTGATTGATTGATAGATCAAGAAGGTTCATATTGGTTGCTGGCTGGAAAATAGCAATGAAATGGGTGATGAGAAGTTAGAATTGAGAGATTGGGAACAACTGCAGTAGCCTTATGTTGAAGGTCCAGCTATGCCAGAGAAGACAGACGTATGTAGTTTGGGCTTGCTGATGTTATCACTCTTTCAACGTGGTTTGAGGTCAGTGAGGAAGGAGTGATCTCAGGGATGACTAGAGTAATGTACTGGGATGATGCTGAGTAGTAAAAGGCTTCATCAAGATGAGGTGATCAGAAGGTTGAGATGAGATGAAGAATGTACTGGTCAAGAATTGCTTCCAGTTCTGCCAGTAGTGTTGATCTGAGGATATTAAGTGAATGATAAATGAATGCCGTGTTTATTCGCTCATAAGGAATGAAATCTAGGTAGGTAAGGCATACCATGAAGAACTATCTGAAACTTCATTCACTTTTATATCTGGCCTGATTGTGTATTCACTACTAAGCTTTAGCTTCGCTTCGTGCATAGTCCAAGTAGTTAGTTCTCCGTCTCCAGAAGTTAAACAAGTAGCTTACTGACGACAGTCCTTCCATCTCTGACAATTGAGCACTTCTTCCAGAAGACGGAGGCTAGTCTCAAGGACGGCTTGACGTCCGAATCAGCAGCGATGCAGAGTTAAATAAGTGTGGTCTAGCTATAAATATGTCCCATAGACTCCCTAAACCTGAAAGAGTCGAGATGACCTTGACACTGGGTAATAAAGCGCCATGAATGGACTTCAGATCGATCACTGCCCACTACAAGAAGGCTTCTTAAATCAGGCTTTCGGTCTTGTTCCGGCCTTGCATCTCTTTCGTAAGTACTTTATCTTTCTCAGGACTGTCGGAGTCTCTCCCATACTGCTCCATTCTGGTCAGTAGAGAGGCGGTGGACTCCATATGGGGTGGCGGTTATACCGGCTACTACTCTCGCCGTGATAGCCTGTCTCCTATGTCGCCACGTTGCCCGCCGCCTGCCATGGTAATGTAATGTCTTTCGAATCAGAACTGCAGGTCTGACATTGAAAGTCGCCTACTCTTTCGTCTTGGGCGGGGAGAGTGGTGCAACCTGTTGAGGATAAAAGTCATGTTAGCTAGAGGAACGATGGCTCTTAAGAGCGATTCAGCGGACATACTGCGAAGGGACATGTCAGAACATGTTGACTTTCAGCTAGGATGCAAGAGGTGACGGGCTTACAAAATCTAGCAGATCATGAGCATTATCAAAGGAAACTTGGGTCGCTCCCAAGGCTTTTGCTGTGCTCACCTAATTAAGCATAGATGAATACGAGGAGCTACATAATCAGCACTAGGTTACTCTGGTTAATTCTCTTGTTATTCAAACAATGTGATATTATATCGGGATTAATGGAAGCATCGTCTAGGTGATTTTCTAAGGGTACAAGATATAGTTCTTTTATCATGAAAGATAAACGACGTCCAGTGATATATATATTCACAACACAAGTCAGCCATGGTCTCTATCATACCATTCCAAAGAAAAGTATTTAAACTCAGATCTGTAGTAAGACAACACTATGACCGCACAATGACTCCATTCTGATTGAAAAAAGCCTATGGATGGTTTTATTGTATGTACTTCAAGGTGAGACTTCGCGCCCAGGATCAGTCGCTATATTTGTGGAATATTTTACCTCTCCAAGTCCGTTCCTTTTGTCCGTTTCGGCCAGACGAAAGCAATATTTCTCACAAGCATACAGGATGTGCGACGCAAACGATTCATTGTTTCAAAATTTACCAAAGAAGAGGCTGAGATGACGATAAAGATGCATTCTGATTACTGTTACTGGGTATCATGGACAACCAACTGATGAATCTTCCTCTAGACACGCAAATAAATCATGTCGCAAAACATGTCGCTAATTAGCAGGACAGCGCCAAATGCCAATATTACGTCTGGATTCCTACGATATCCGTGGCCCACAAAATCGAGCCCATCCGCTCCGGCCCCAGCAGTCGACAGATCTCCTTCAACAACCGCGCCCCCAAGTCACCCATCCACCAGCGGTCGCGCAGGTGGTGCAGCACCGCACAGTAATGCGCGAAGATTATGAGCGCCAGGGGTTGTTCTTCCCGGACGAGATCCAGATAGCGGCTGGGGATGCGGAACATCCAGCGCAGGGCGATGGTCGTCGGATCGCCGCCTTTGGTGAGCATTTCGAGCGAGTTGTCCAGGTTTGCGATGGTGTCGTTGTAGACGGCAGTCTCGTGCGCTGGGTCCTTTTTCGCGCTGACGGCGTTTAGGTTCTTCATGGAGAGGATGGTGAGGGTGTAGGTGTTGGGTAGTTGGTGGTATGGGTCTCCCTGGGTGAAAAGGTCTTTCAGGGCGTCGTTTTCGACTTTGATTAGTGTATCGGGACTGGGGAGTAAGGCTCTGATGGTGTCGAAGAGGTCGAGGAGCTTCTGCAGGGAAGGAGAGGAGGAGGAGGAGGGTGATGGGTCATGACTCTCTTGAGAGGTGGGTGTTTTGTTGTCGGGCGACGAGAGAACGGACTTGGAGCCCTCTCCGGCCAGCACAGAGGACGCAAGGTCGCACATGAAAAGAATACTTGCAGTGGAGAATGCTGCGTTGGGCCCGGATGCTGTAGGGGTTTCTAGGACGTTGGGTAGCTTCTCCGTGGCTTGTGTGTAGTGACTTTCGGCCGCCTGCAAGTGACGCTGGCGTTGCGGAGTACCAGCCTCACTGGCAGATGCGAGTTCTATGGCGGACAGAGCCAGCGTGCTATGCCTCAAAGCAGGGTATTGGGATGTCTCGCGCCGGATTATGGCCTGCCATGGGTGGTCCTTGCTTTTGCTGTGCGCGAGGGATTGTTCCGTCGAGTTGCACCAGTTGTCAAATAGGCGTTGATCTTCGGTGTTCAGCTCCTCGGACGGTTTGCCAGCTTGAGCCTCCAAGACCCTGATCTTGTCATCCTGATCAACCTCGGAGATATTGGACTCGGGGGATTGGGATGTGGAGGGGCTGACAGCAGAAGGAGGATATTGTTGGGCGGGAGGGGAGGGTGAGGAGTACGAGGACGAGGATGAGGACGAGTCGTCGGAGGAAGAGGAAGCTTCCGCCTTGGACGGGGTGGCTTTGGAGGCTCGAACACCGAAGCGTGGGCGGAGTTGTTTCGAGGGAACCGAATTACCGTAACGACAGGATAGGCGATGACGCCTGCATCTGTCGCACTGAGGGCGAGTCTTTGAGCACTAGAGCGCAGCAGTGGTAAGCAGCCATAATAAGACCAAGGTGATGGGACATGGAGACATGAACATACCTCCATCTGTCGCTCACTACATTGGGTGCATTGGAGTGGTGACCTTCGGAGTAGCCTCTGAGCAGGCATAGCAAGATGGTGCCAATGGCTACTGGCCTGAAAGAGCCCGGCCTGCCTTTCCAACGGGCACCACAGCCACCTTAAAGATGATCATGCCTTACAACTAAGTAAGAAGCAGAGGTGAAGTATCAAGAGGGAAAGGGCCTGCGGAGCGGAAAGGCAACTACTGTGGGAGAACAGGCCAACAAAAGCATTGCGTGGACCTGGAGCTGCAGTGGTATGAAAATGCAATAATAATTGATCAGATTGCAAGGATGCCAATCATCTCCTGAAAGTGAAATAGCTTCCATTTCGCGTCTGGGCCAGGAATCAGATTGAGTGGACGAGGGCCGCGACGACCAGGCATCTGATTTGGTAGGTGTGATCCCTCAAAGGGCCAGGAATAAGGCAAACCCACTATGGAAGGGGGTTGGATTGACCAAGATAGGAGGGAGCAGCAGTATGCGCATAATGCCAAGGGCCCCACCGAAGGCACTGTTACTACTTAATCAATTATTCTAGTAGGGTCAACTTGGCAATGTGGGAAAGGTTGCGATGACCAACTTCCCAGCACAGTAACTATACGGGGGGTTGATGCGGTCGATCTCTGGTGTCCCCCGTATTCTGGGTGCGATTTTTTGGGACAAGAGGTCTGAGGGGGCTGGATATGATTGGCTACATGGTCAAGAAGGTAGTTACACTAAGCCCAATGCGGATTACAAACCTCTTGGCTTGAATGAGGGGCGCTGATTGGCCAATAATCCTTCACTAGTAATCAGAATGTCCAGCAAGACCACGGCATAGTTCGGCTTTTTCGACGCCCCTTCAGGAAAGGTGAGATTCTGACGTCGACGTCAGCGTTGGGGAGTAGCGACGGAGACTATTGTTTTAGAGGTGCTAGATTGAACAACAACTTCATGGCCAGATGGATAGCCAAGGACAGTAGCGTTATTGTAGGAAACATATGAATACGCTGCCACGAGGGATTTTGCTCTGTGCATGCGTCAATGACCGGTCAGAAACCCCTGTTTCAACTTCAAACCCAGGAATGTGAGCGGGAGGAGGGCTCGAGAGCCTCGAGTCTGGGCCCATATGTTCTTTCACACATTCTATGATCCTAAACGAGTTGTTGCTGGAGGGCAAGAGAAGCTCGCGAGTCATGATCTCTGCATATGGATCAGATTGTCATGAGTGTGCACTGACATAGGACATAGATACGGACTCTGTCCGCAGCAGTTGGATAGGTATTCTTTCACTCCAAGCCAAGGAGAGTGGCTTGACTGATACGAGCTCCCTGGAGCCAGCTGAGTCAATCATGCCTTAGGATTAACTAGTCATCGATTTGGGTTATTTTCTCCTCACCAAAAACCAAGGACTGCCAGTATGTCAGTCTAACCTGTAAGTTAGTAACCCCTGCCGCTGTACAACTGCCCATCAAATGCTGTACATCAGGGTCATGTCAAAGACAAGGATCAACCAATCAACATGACAATTGTATGATCGCATCTTTAGTGCTAATCAGTCTTTCAACAGTCCTAGTGTCATCGACTATCGGAGATTTTCTCAACCCACTCTCGCGTGGCCTAGTTGTAGTGTGTGATAGACTACTGACTGACAAATGACCTTAGGATTTATTTAGATGCAAGACAAACTGTTATCAGTGCGCATAAAATTTCAGCCTGTTTTTTGATGAGTGATGAGTCCTCCGTTCTCAGGAATTGTGGCAATTCTTCTGGCTCTTTCTCAGCCTATCGTATCCCTTGACTCTTTTTTCAGGCCGGTTGCCCAAAACCTTGGAATTCCAGGAGAGCGGTTGCTGCCAAGTCCGATTGGCCACGCTTGCTGTGATGAAGGATATAATTGGCTTTTCGGGAACAGCGCGAGTGGAGATTACCAGAATGCTCGCTAAAAGTAGGGCGAAATGGGAGAGACTAGGGCAGACTAGTGGGCACTATCGAAACTATCGACCAGGTCAGAACTGTAATTGTGCACCAAACTTGGTCTAAACCGGACTTGTGGAAATGAAACTTGACGCCCTAAACCCTTTTCATAAAATGGAGCATGCTTAAGTTCCCACCCCCCTGTAATCACCACAGGGATCCCTCTCCCCAATGCCGATTCTCCATTCTGCACACCCATTTTTCTGCAGCCCTCTGGATATTAATCCCGTTCGTGCAGTCGATCCCCAGTCAGTCGGGGCGTCTCGATCGAATGTTTTTGCAGACATCAACAATCCACAAACGAAACAATTCTCCGATAACGCATCGACAATCGCGCATCAATTGAACTCCCACAAGCCACGCACTGAAAGAAAGATACGGCGCAGTAATGCGCCGTTTGGTTCCACGGGCACGGCTCTCAAGCTGTACTTAAAACTCTTAAGGTTGTTTTCGCCTGCCATGTAACGTGGCGTTCCCGGGGGATGGCATGGCTTGTTCCCGGACTGAACTCGATCTAATATTGTTACGTAGACCTGTCTCGAACCCATTTAATCAAGTCACGGACCCAGCTCGACGACTACAATTCGGGTCCCGATTGGCCTAACCGTTGAGATTCTCTTCGGGCTCATAGGATTGTTTCGTCCGCAACAGCCGGGGGGCCAAGGCCATACTCAGGCCTTGCCGAATAATATCTAATCAATTAACGGCACTACCTAGGAACCATATCTACTCCTCCTGGCAATGAATTATCCCTGCTCGGATTCCCCGCCATCATAGCATCCATCCACTCCTTCTTTGCGCTTCGATTGTCGTTCTTTTGTTGTTTTGTACCCAAATCCACAATAATTTACCAGGTATCCGATCTCTCCACGATGATGATGAAGTTTACTCGGGGTATTTGAGCCCTCCCAGGCCCACGTCCAACCGGGGACGATCATCCTTGACAGGGATCGACATTCGTTCACAGATCTTCCACCCTAACTATCATTTATTTCCTTTTCCGGTATGTGACAGCAACCATGCTGCTTGACATCAACGCCTCCACCTTGTCCGCCACAGGTGTGCTGTGCATGCTCTTGTGTCTCATTGTCAAGCTCTTTGAGACCTCGCCGGTACCCAAGAACATCCCATGGGTCCTGAGCAAAAAGGGTTTCTTTGGCCGCGCTGCTGAGCGCTTCCTCGGCGTCAACCCCATCGGATTCATCCAAGAGGGATATGAAAAGGTCGGTTTATTTCATGCCGTGCTATGGCGCCCGATGTATACACAAATCGGGTTGATTGGTTGATTGGTTGAATGCTGACCTTCCTGCAGTACTCCAAGAATCAGGAACCCTTTGTGATGCCTAGTGTCAATGAGGGCGATGAAGTCATTCTTCCCAAGGAGCACACGAATGCCGTCCTCTTCGCCAAGGAATCCGAGTATAGCTTCAAGGCTCACATTAGCGACTTCTTCCAGCTCAAGTACACCAGTTGGCCCCTTGCCTTTGCCGAGCGATATGAGTTCTTCGTCAAGTTGGTCAGCAAGGACCTGACCGATACCCTCAAATCCAAAGCCGTCGCCGAGTCCCTGGCCGAGGAGGCGCGATCTTGTCTCTCGGATATCTGGGGCGGGGACACGGACAACTGGGTCGAGGTTCCCTTGTACGCTTTTATGGAGAAGGCCGCGGCTCGGATGGTCAATGTGCTGGCGATTGGGCCAGGCAGGAGCCATGATACCAGTCTACTCAACGCCATGACCAACTGCTCTAATGCCATTGTCTTGGGGGCCAATGTCATCAAGGCCGTTCCTTCATTTCTTCACCCGTATGTCAGCGCCTCGACATTGATCCGAATTTTTCTAACTGGGAACAGCATTATCGGTCCGATCGTAGGACTCGCGAACCGATGGCAAGAACGAGTGTTCCACAGGCGCATGAAGCCTATCATCGAGGCCAAGATCAAGGAGCAGAAAGAGGCATATAACTCGCACTCTCTCCAAGAAAGACTAAGGACAAACGTACGTCCCTTGAGAACCGACGTCATTTGATATGTCTGACATCCTCCAGGGGAGCCTGCTCGACTTGCTCATCCAAGCTGGCCTCCGCAGCAAGTGGCCCGTGGAACTCGAAACCATGTGGCTGGCCTACCGCATCTTCATGATCAACTTCCCCGGTGTACATACAAGCGGTATCTCCGCCACCAGCGCCCTTCTCGACATCCTGAGCTATCCCACCGAAGAGGGCTTCATGGATATGCTCCAAGCGGAAGTCGAGCAGATTGCCGCCACGTCGGACGGCTCATGGTCTGCCGCTGACTTGGAACGAGCCGGTCTGCTAGAAAGTGCCATCAAAGAGTCTCTTCGCTTCAACGGCGTCAATGCCGTCTCGCCTACCAGAAAGGTATCTTCATCCCTGTTTACACGGCGTGACACACGCTAACGAGATATTCTCAGGTCGTCGCACCAGAAGGCGCCGTCCTCCCTAATGGTGTCTACCTCCCCTACGGCACCAAAATCGGTATCCCCCAGTACGCCGTCCACCGCGACAGCGACCTCTACCCCAACCCCGACGAATACGACCCCTACCGCTTCTACAAGGAAAACGCCACGCCCCAGGAACGACGCCAGAATCTCATGACCAACACCAGCGACACATACCTCGTCTTTGGCCACGGCCGCCGACAATGTCCCGGCCGGTGGCTCTTTGCACATATCTTTAAGCTCCTTATCGCCGAGATGCTCCTCAAATATGAAATCAAGCCCTTCGCTACCCGTCCCAAAATCCACAGTAAGTTACTTGAAATTTTATTTTTGTATGCGGAGCTAACAGGAGCAGGATGGGGTCGCTTCCAATTACCGCCACTCTCAGTAAAACTGACCGTTCGACGAAAAAAGAACACGGTCGCTGTTTATAATTGATTCTCGACATAATATTTCGCCGGCCGCCTTCGTTACTGGCCGGCCTCCGTTCATTGTATATATTTCCTTTTCCTTTTTTTCTATACTGTATAGCGACGTCTTTTCGATAGATGGATACCAGCCAATTGCAATTGGTCACCAAGATTTCCTTTTTGTCATGTCGATCATGCCTTTCTTTGGATTCGGGCGGATTCTGTCGATTTTCTGTTTTTGGAGTGCATGGCAAAAGCTTGTATATTACTCATGCTCGATTGCTGTTCATCCATTTACTGGGCAATAGTTGGAATCGAGGCATTCTGATATTCTTGAGAGAGGTTTATGTTTTAGGTCTAACGCACTCAGACATCTATGAACAAGAATTTTAGTAGTAATGTCACAGATAAAAGAGATATAGTCAAGAATCAGGTTCAAACCCCCTCTCATTTTTCGGTCTTAATAACCGTATCACCTTACAACTGAATGACGTCGGGTTACGACCGAAGAAATGTTGCAGGATCTGGATGTCTGCCTTGGGGAAGTGCCTTTTGAGCTGCTGGGCATGCTCGTGTGCCCGCCTTCCAGTCAATTCGAGGGGATCACGAGGACGCTGGTCGGGATCAAGGAAGTATCCGACTCGGAATGACCCAAGCCTTGGAAACAAAGGCGCTTGGTAATCCTGGAGCTCTAGTATATTGAATCCCCCACCGACAAAACACGATTCGAGCCGTGGACAGCATTTCGCCAACGCTGCGAGGAAAGCTGCTGTGACCTTACTGGGAAAGGGGTGAAGGGACAGGGCGTTCAGATCCGGTAGGCCACTAACCAGACTATGCAAGTCATCATCACTGTACTCAGCGGCTGCCGAGTGAGGCTCGCGTGAGCCATGTAGACTTAAACTTGTCAGATTGCTGAGTCTCCTCAGAGAGACGAGACGAGATCTTCCGGTGGAATAATCACGTTGTCGTAGAAAGTGATCTCTAGGGTTCGCAGTTCCGTCAAGTCCGAGAGGGGTTGTATTCTGACTGATTCCCGGATATACAAGCCCTCTGTGTCTCTCGGCATCACGCGGAGCTGTATAACAGAGCCGAAAAGCTTAGCCAGCGATGGCACTGCGTCGTGACAGATCTCAATGTCCAATCTATTCAGCCTTGGAAAGGGCGCTTCAATCGACAACGCATCGCTTAATAACTCAGGGGAAATTTGCTCCAGATCCAACCGCTCGAGTGTTGAAGACGTGGCCAGAAATTCAATGACTTTTGAATCTGTTATCAGGTGGTCCTCCAGTTCAGTGATGCGCAGGCTCTCTAGATATGGGAGTCGCCCGGATCTGAGGAGTGTACACCCTACGCCGATCCTTTGGGACCTTCATGAGGTAGTTGTCTTTCTGCGCTTGCCAGAGGCGTCGGATGCCGAGATTGAAAAACTGTCGGTTGACCAGGATCACGATCGTAAGCTGCAATACATGCAGCTCGTCCAATATCGCCATCAAAATTTCTGGTGGAACTTGATCCAAGCGTGCCATTTTGGCGGCGGGATCTTGGAAGAGGCGATTTTGAGCTATCCACTATATCTTCTGGAACGCTCAGATTTCGAGGAGGAGAACAGTCAGGATAATGCTGAGATAAAGAACCCTTTGAATCCTAATTGATTAATCCTGCCCAGTCCAGTTGTATTCACAGTCAACACGTCCAGCGCGCCAGTCACGTGGTTATCTGTTTGTGTTTGGAGTACGGAGTAGAATCGTCTTTGGATTGGCGTATCAGAATCCAGTTCCTGACTTGCTAGAGTTGATGTTTGCTAGCTTCCGTGCCTGGACGGTGTGTCAGTCTTGGTCTCCGCGCCTCGTTTCAGTCAACCACAACGCTGGCAATGCGTTCCTCAATAACTTGACTGGTTGCTGTTTCGCAATTAAGCGAGTCATTTGACCTTCGACGGAACGTTGTGATCTGATGAGGTATGATTAGGAGGCAGATCAGTATGAGTTCATACTTGTTTCTACCATCAAACTTGTATTAAAATTGTATTTGTTTTCATCCTCAGCCGAGTGCGTAGATTCGTGCGTGTCACATGACTGTCAACTGTCACCTGCCTGATTGGGGTGTGTCACACCAAGAGCTGTCGCTATATCATCACCCATACTAGATATTAGATGGTCTATCCATAGTTGTCATGTTCTTTAGTCATTTTTTATAGGATCACACTTGTGCATATAATTCCAGGAGTATGTGAATGGTGTGGTAGAAGCAAAGCATTAACGTCTTCAAGAGTAATATATGTTTTAGATTCAGGTGAGGTATACAGAAACTAAGCTGTAGAACTGCATCAAGCACTCCATAACAGACAACAGAAACCAGCAGACCAAGATGGTCAGTCAGGGCTTGGCGAAGTCACTGCTTCATCGCAACCAGAAAAAAATTGTTAAAGTCTACAGTTTTGATCAGATCCATGTTGACAGGTCTGGGAGTGGCCACAGCGCAGATACTAATCCAGACGTGAGAGATAGAGACAATATTGGTGCATTGTCGGATGCTCTCTGGAGACAATGGTCCATCTTATTCCCATGTCAGGTACCAGACGCCTTAGATGACCAGACCGCTATTCTACCCTGCAGATCGTGTCTACAGGTACACGTCATCTTCCATGATTTTCTACGACCTGTCACTTGTCAAGCTGCAGATACTCTTTCCCGCAAGGTATGGCCATTAGCAAGTGGCGCAGCTGAATGCTAGGACGCACAGCGGTGTAAGGTTGCCATCTAAGCAGAGACTGATTACTTATTGACTATTGTTCTCATCTCTTCCATCAAGGGCAAGCGCTTTATAACAGTCCTGGAACGCATGTGGTATAGGGCTCTTTTCACTCCATCTCCTTGAACCCTTTAATTGAATATTCGACATTACAAGACCTCAACAATGACGGCGGAAGCAGAAACCCTCTTCAACAGCCTGGGATCCCGTTATGAGGCCGCCTTTGGAATGGACAAGGAGCTGCAGAGGTTTGTTGAGCTTGTGGCCAAAACCATCCCCCCTCGAAGCAGAACACTAGATGTTGGCTGTGGGACAGGCAAGCCTGTTTCTCACATACTTGCCTCTGCCGGCCATGAAGTGCACGGGATTGATATATCAGAAGAGATGGTGAAAATCGCAAAGTCCCAAGTTCCGGGGACGTTTCAAGTGGGTGATATGAAGACATATCAACCGTCAGCATTGTTCGATGCAGTCATTGCAATCCGATCTCTGTTCCAAATGTCGGCGTGTGATATGTGCTCGATGGTTATGCGGTTCTCTCAGTGGATCAAGGTCGGGGGATATGTTGTCCTTGGAGTGACTCCCAGCACCTCGTTGGTTCCGAAAAAGGTGACTTATGATCCCACATGGGATTGTGCTTGGATGCTAGATAAGCCGTGGATGGGGAATTATGTCAATGATTTATTCCTATCCGAGGAGCGTTGGTGTCAACTTCTGCGAGAATCCGGCTTTATCATTGAAACAGAACCGGTTTCTTACCTCTTCTCTCCGGCCAGCCAGGAACATGCTCCTGAGGCACACTACATCGTGATGGCGAGAAAGGTCGAATGGGAGCCGCTTTTGGGGCCATATCCCTTACGCGGTGGTCTCAAACCATTGGAATTTCAGGCGCGTGGAAATCTCTTTGCTGATCGCCTGGTGAGCAAAGACCTCGAGATATTGCTTGAAGATATAGGCGACAGTCCGGAGGTTTTATGTATCGGAAAGGACCTACTCAGTAAGGCTTCTGGATCTTCCCCTTCTCTCTCTTTGAGCTTGATGTTGACGATGACAGATGGACGTTTCCAACGCCGTAAAAGTCGATTTGTCGACCTTCCGATTGAGGACTTACCGTTTGCCCCGAGAACCTTTCATACCGTGCTCGCCTTATGGCAGATGGATTATGTGCTGAATATGGAGAGAACTATTCAGGAAATAACCCGTGTACTGGGTCGATCGAGTTCGAAGATTGTGATTATCCAGGGAGGGCCGTATAACGAAGTGGTGAAGCTGCTAGCTTCTGTCGCTCGGTCTGTCCCTGTTGGCCACCAGGGACATATCCTGCACTCGGCCATGGGCTACCTTACGAAATACGGGTTTGGTGATATCAGTGTGCATCATATCGATGCAAGCTATGAGTTCCAGGAAGAGAACGTTCCAAAGCGTTGCGCCGCCGCCGCTGAATTCCTAACCGGCATTTGGCATCGACGGCATTCACAACGCGAACGGATTGAGGAGGCACTCGTGGAACGGCTGCAGCTTCTTTTCCGAGCCGATGCCCACTCAGTCTCTCACGGGATGGTTGCAATTGTTGCGCGCCCAACTCTGGTTCAAGGTTGAATAGCGAAGTGGAAGAGGGATATCTTAGTCTATTTCCGCCCTCTCTCAAAGCGTCCGTGAATATTTTGAGTGTCATCTGAAGGTAGCTAGCCCGGACTGCCATGAAGCTGAGGCTCATGCAGAGAAGGTAATGGGGCTCCTTGGTGGCCGATCATATAGTACAGACCATACCATAAGCAGGTAGTATTATTTCACGCGGTATAACCTACTCCCAACGATCCTAATCGCTCTAAAGAGGGACCCCATCTATTACTTCATTCTGGCACAATGCTGTGGACCGACAGTTGGGCAACAGCCAGCTTTTCTCCATGAACAATAGGACCAAAACTGCCGACACGCCAACCACCAGTCCCAGCACCCAAGCCATCGTATTCCAGCCGGCCGCATCTTTGATAAATCCAGCCAAAAACGGGCCAACAAGAGCTCCCGCAGACCAAGCCGAGTTCATGAGCCCATAGCCCAACGCCGACGCAGCTGCCTGGTTCAGCTTCCCCGGAGCCTTTTTCTCCATGTCGCCCACCATGTCCGAGATCTCCACAAATAACGGAGTCATCGAGAACGTAACACAGAGACCGACGACAGCGAGCAACGTACAAAGAAGTACTTTGGACCCCACAGAGTCGCCCACTACGAGGCGCAGAAGGGACAGGGTCAGGCAGCCGATCCCAAATGCCCCGCTCACCATGTAGCGGCCAGCCCTTGGGTACCTGTCGCAGATCATCCCAACGGCCGGGTTGAGCAGTTGTGGGATAAATAGGGCTAGAAATACCAGACCCTGGGCCGATTGGTTCCAGCCAAACCGTTCCCTGACAAAGAGCGCTAGGACGCTGTCGAACGCGGTCATGATCATGGCTGTCACCATGTAACCCCACAGAACCACCCAAAGGCGGGGGCAGGACAACAGAGCCGAGACCACTTTGGAGTCTGTGGCCAGCGTCTGCGATGCACAGGCTCTATCAGCCTGTACACTGCGTGAGTTGACCTCGTCGTCTAGGGCTGGAGGCGCGGGCAATGCCCCCTCCGGGGATTCGCCACGGGACTCGAGCCCATTCGTTGCGGGCCTTGTCTCGATCAGAATGACCCGGAACAGCATGTCGAACCCGAGCAACGCAAACGCCAGCCCAAACACCGTATAGTAGCCGGCATGCTCATATAGCGCACCGCCCAGCAGCGGCCCGGCGATCCCCCAAGATTCATCCCCATTCCAACGTAGCCAAACGCTTGCCCGAGTCCTTCTTCCCCCATTGTCTCTCGTAAGAGCGCAGAGCCCACCGTCCATACGACTCCGTTGGCCGCACCCTGCAGCAGGCGACCGGCAATCCAGAGTCCCAGGTGAGTCCCGACACAGAGCAAAGCCGTCGCGCCAGTTAGGACGATCAAACCGGCCATGAACGGCCACCGTAGTGAATCGACCCGACCGATCCAATACCAGGTGAGAGCTGCCGAGGAAAGCGATCAGTCAGTGATCGCGACGGATCAGCCCATGTCACACTCACGCGAGACGACCAGTGTCGCCGCACTAAATACTGCCCCAAGAATCGATACCCACCGCTGGACTATCTTGGAGGATCATATTAGCTCCGGATACGAAGCCAGGGAACTGTAAACAACAGACCATCGTTGCCTTCTATGACCCCTCGCTCGGGTAACGCTGTCGGAATGACAGGGATAATCTGTGAGAGTCAGGGTACCGATGGAGAAGAGACATGATACGTGTTTCGTGTGGTACCAGTCCATAGAGAAAGTTATCCTTCGAAAGACGTTAGTTGACGAGATCTCCTGCCACTTGTCCCAAGACCAACAACATACTGTAAATATCGCGAATACCACAACAAAGACAACGAATTTGGCAGACGACCGGAATTGCAGAAGGCGTCGCTGCAAATGTCGGCCATGCCACGAGCACGACAGGACACCCATGGTTGCAAAATCGAAGGAGAAGCCGACCCTGGATGATTTAGTCTTCATTCAAGGGGCACACCTGCTCAGACAAGTTCAAGGTTTGTGTAATGGTGTTACTAAAACTACCAAATCCATGAGTATCGGACCAGCTGCGCTGTTAATCCACAAGAAAGCGATCAAGTCATTCATAGTTAATGGGGCTTAAGCAGATGTGGTTGTCAGTCTTCTGGAAGGTCGAAATAGGATCGATGGTACCTCAATGATACCTAGAAGTAAGGAGCATCCCGCTGGTCGCCTATGTGGAGGATAATAGACTAATATTAAATGTTGATCATACCTGTAATATGATAGACCCGTGCTTTAGGCTACAAAAGATGACATATCTGAGACATATCTCCACTTGCAATGAGTGTGGAATGGTGGCGTCAGCTGAAGTACATACCGGACGAGCTCCTGGCATGAAATGAGCCTTGCTCTTGTCCTGGCAAAGTCACGTTCAGCTTGATCTTCTAGTGTTTCTAGTGCAGATCATGACGACGCAAGGAACAGGAGATTCCACTCGAAATCCAATAGTTTGAGGTATCTTGCCCCAGTGGGACGGAAAAGCATTTAGTCTCAAAACCTTTTTCTTTAGTGGCATGTGTATATTAATTAAGCTCCTGGAAGACAAGCCTGGCCGGATATTGCTCCATTCTCTGTTTCCTGCCTGTCCCTCTCACCATTGCCATCCTCTGGCAAAGTGCTCAATCTGCAGAATACATAATGGGCTCCTTCATCCCATCCGGAAGGGACTGGGCACCAGAGACTGGTTCTCTTCCCCTGAGGTCGTGGAAACCTCACCTAGTTAATAACTACCATATTGTTGTCAACCCTCCAATACCCACCACTACCCGTTCAGCATCTCCCCTACCCTTTCTCCACCTATTGGAACGGTTAAAGACCACAAAACGCTAAGGCTGGCAGCAAGTCAGGATCAAAAACGGGGAATCAATTGCTGATCATATGTATCTCATGTTGATCATGGTGATTCTCTGGCCCCCTTCCTTTCCTTAGCCTCACGCGCCAATACTTCCCAATGCATACAAATGGCTCTCGTCCACGACATGGCTGAGTGCCTGGTTGGTAATGTTACGCCGTTGCACAAGGATATCACCAAGGCAGAAAAATCTCGGAGGGAAGAAGCAACGATGAGATATACATCGCGCAGCTCTTCCCGGGCGTGACGGACATCAACACATCCACTGCCCTCTTCCGGGAGTACGAGGAGGATCAGACCCTAGAAGGCAGCTCGTGCATGACATTGATAAGTTGGAGATGGTTCTGCAGACGTTCGAGTACGAGCGTTGTCATCAGCGTGATCTGTTGGAGTTTTATCACGTCATGGATGCGATTCGCTGGCCTGAAATGCGCGACTGGGGGTTGATGACGATGAAGGAGCGCGAGGCGTTTCGAGCCGCTACATCCAAAGGCGAGATTGAGAATGATCCGGCTAAGACGTGGCGATCGATGTCCTGGAAGGTAGAGTCCATGTAGGCAGAGTGAAGCTACGCAGATACGTGTGGAGTTGCTGTCGTCAGCTAGAGTTACTCCATATTGGACTATCTACAATGCTTCTATCGAAATGTATTTCCGTACTTGATCGCTCTATTCTACACTGCTTTCGCGGAATCTGCAGGCAGGATGCGACTCTCTACTTCCCCTGTGAACACTTGATCATCTATTCACTAGACACAGTGTTGCGAGCCAATCAACGAGTTGTATATTATCTTAGTGCTTACGTCGGGATTCTCGAAATCCGGCCCAATTCCGACCGACGGCCATGTCTTCCCTTCCGAACCTCATATTCAGTCCCACGTATGATCCATTACTTATGACTTAATCCATCAGGTTCGGAGCTTCCATCAAGTGTGACCGGACTTCGAGAGACGGGATCATCAAAGACAGTATCGAGCGTCATATCCTCCCATGGATGACACAACAGGCTATGTTCCAGCGCCATATGGCCGGGCGTGCGCCAACTGTGCTCGAGCCAAATGCAAATGTATCCTTCCAGAGGCAGGAGGTATCTGCGCAAGGTAAGTTGCTAAAACTGGGTCGGTGAACATTAAGTAAGAGCCACAATAGATGTTATCGATTGAATAAAGAATGCCGGCCCTCAGCCAGAGTCCGAAGAACTAGACGAAACACACCCATAGTGTCAAAGGCTGTGCAGTTGGAGCAAAAACTGGATGGCTTACTCTCCCTCCTCCAAGCTAATCAGTCGCAATCGATGCCTGAGTGTCCTAGCCCTGAAATACCTGGTCAGGATCAAGTTTCCCCAAGACGTCAAGATGTCGTGGCCCCGCTTCTCACACCAGAAGGCAGCACACCGCATGGCAACTCTCCTGGTAGGTCTTTTACTACTTCAGTAGGGCCAGCAGAGGTCTGTTCCTCGAATACAGCAGACGCCAACGCAGAGGAAGTTCTTAATTGCTTTCGCAACGGGCCTCTGGCGTATCTACCATTTGTTCATATTCCGGACAGTGTCAGTGCTGCGCAACTGGAGATGGAGTCTCCGTTCTTATGGTATTGCATTTGTGCAGTGCAGTGCAAGCATACTGCGCGCCAGTCTGCTCTCAGCGTCAGCATCAGAGAAAAGGCAGCCCAGGCGCTCCTCGTGGACTGTCGAAAGAACCTGGATATACTGCAAGGCCTACTGGTCTATCTAGGCTGGTATTTGAATCCTAATCGACGTTGACTGCCCACTACTGACCACTCAAGGATCACTTTCCACTGCCAACCGCAAAAGTATTCTCTTTGTGCCTACATCCAACTGGCAATATCTGTCGTCTTCGACTTGGGCCTTCACAAGGCCCGCCTGATGAATCACATCCGGCCGATTGCGATTGGAACGGTCCTACCCACAACCTCAAATTTCCGGTTTCCAGAACACGGACCATGAATGAGCGACGCGCTTTACTCGGTTGCTTTCTCCTAAGTTCGTTGTATGTAGCCTGTATCCCCGGGGTTACCCTATCAAGTGCTGAATCAGTCCTGCGTCAGTATATCCCAATTCTTGTGCAAGCCTGATCCACTGCGTTGGACAGCACACATGAAAGAATGTCTGGAAGTCTTGACTGCGAGAAAAGAGACTCCCAATGACGCAGTCCTTGTACAGCTCGTTCAAATTCAACTCGTCGTGGACAAGGTGATCAGGCGGTCTTGGGACGAAAACGGACTCGCCGCCGAAGACAGCCCCCGGCTTCCGACATCCTTTTTCATACAAACGATGCAACATCGGCTGCAAAGTACCAAAAGTCGAATTCCACCTGAGGTAGCGGACAACAGTAAGTCAAAATGCTGTATGTCACACAGAAATCCAAGACTAACATGTGATTCAGAGGTTGTGCTTTTCCATCTATACCAAGCCGAAGTGGCTGTATATGAGTCGGCGCTGTCGAGATCGGCCACACGAGTCGAAGACGTAGATGTCACTCGTATCAGCCATCTTTATGCTTGTCTATCCGCAACTAAGAATTGGGTTGATCTCCTTCTCACCGTCGGTCCTGAAGAATATGTCTTCCTGCCAGTAACGATCATCTTCCAGGTCTCACACTGCCTGAGTACCTTGTTCTATCTTTCTACATTTGGCTACCCGGGCTGGGATAGAGAAGCAGTTACCCGAACAGCTGACCTGCAGTCCATCGCGCAGCAGATAATTGGCCGACTGGATTCGGTTGCTGAAGCGGCAGGCATCCAGAACGAAGGAACGGATGGGGATTCGTGGAGCAAGGCGGCCAGGATCCTGCCTAAATTGCAGGCTAGTTGGGCGTCTAGGCTCCCAAACGCTGTAGCTATAGGTGAAAACTCAGACGGACAGTCGTCGGCTCTTCCTAGTGTTGATGAGGACTTTCTCGAAGCATGCCTCAATTGGCCGGATGTATGGCTGATGGAACCGTGGATGCAGGCGACTCAGAACGGATTGTGATGGTCTAGCTAAACCTTTGAATGTATTACGAGTCAAGTCTAGCTCAAGCCGAATGGGTCATTTTTACCGATTTAGTCTCTGATCTATGTTTATTGTTACGAATACCGTCCCAACGGGCTTACGAACCCCTGCACGGAATTGGAGTCGGGATTGGCCCAACTCCGTCCGATGTTGAGATATAACAATGAACCTTTCTCCCTAGACGTAGTCGCTTTCTATTGTTTATTCTCAAGCCGTTAACAACTATCACCAGGATTTATTCACCAAAATGCGCACAGAACTGGAAGGGGACGAAGCTCCCCGTTCTGCCGACCGAGGAAAGGAGGAGTCTTTCACACAGAATACTCATAATACCCCATCCATGACCTCTGAGCTATCGAACACCAAACAGGAACCTGAGATGCTTTCAGGAGATACTGCACAGAAAGTGACTGATCCTATCACCAACGCTGGAGAAGATCGCCCGGAGGAGTGGATTAAAGGCATTCCCCTGCTCATGGTAACTTCAGGGATTACTCTAGTCATATTCCTGATGTTGTTGGACATGTCGATATTATCTACAGTCTGTCGGCCCAGTTTCGATAACTGAGTTTACATCTAATCCGGAATGAGTAGGCCATACCGCAGATCACGAACCAATTCCACTCCCTCGAGGACATCGCCTGGTACGGCAGTGCTTACACGCTGGCGAGGTAGGTCAAATACCTGCTATTATGGGAATGGGACACTAGATATCTGGCCTAACCTGCTTGACAGCTCCGCCCTTCAGCCTCTTACAGGGAAGTTCTACACCTACTTCACCTCCAAGGTAGTTCATCCCTCTACTCGGTTTCCAATGGTAGGCTGATTCCGTGCAGTGGGTATTTCTGGGCTTCTTCGCAGTCTTCGAACTGGGCTCCTTGATATGTGGCGTCGCTACCTCGTCGAGAATGCTCATTGTCGGCCGAGCTGTTGCCGGCATGGGGTCCTCGGGCATGGCCAACGGTGCTCTGACTATTGTTGCTGGTGCTGTTCCGATGCATAGAAGACCAGGTATGAGTTCTCTAGGAGAAGTTGAACGTGCAAACTGACATGTTGAGAAGTTATGGTTGGCATTATGATGGGATGTATGTACAGACCCCGTCACACCACAGAAACACAACTAAATGATTTTTTCTCGCAGTGTCACAGATTGGCCTGGTTCTGGGCCCTCTGATCGGTGGTGCGTTGACCACGTATACGACATGGCGCTGGTGTAAGATGACCGGGTCCGTCCCTGATAGAATTAGGTTGTGATACTTAATATCGACAGGCTTCTACATCAATTTACCAATTGGAGCACTAGTTGCTGCCCTCTTGGTGTTTACGCGCGTTCCCGAGCAACGAGAAAAGGGTCGAGCGGTTGAAGTTCTGCCAACGTTCTTCAAGACGTTCGATATCCTCGGGTTCGTGCTCTTTGCCCCGCTGCAATCCAACTCCTGCTGGCTCTTCAATACGGAGGTAATCAATATGCATGGGATAGCGCTACCGTCATCGGCCTGTTCTGCGGTGCCGGTGCAATGTTCCTTGTCTTTCTGGCATGGGAGTACCGCATGGGGAAAGACGCCATGATTCCATTCCACGTGGTTCGCAACCGGATCGTCTCCTGCAGCTGTGTGGTTATCATGACTTTGTTCGGGATGACAATCACTGCGTCGTACTATTTACCGATATACTTCCAGGCAGTAAGAGACAAGACGGCGCTGGTTAGCGGTGTTGATTTGTTGCCGGGTGTGCTGTGCCAGATTTTCATGGCTTTGGTCACGGGGGCTCTTAGTATGTCGCCTGTTTTCTTTTTTGTGGTTATTCGTGCTAATAGTCCTTTCGCATAGCCGGAAGAATAGGCTACTATCTCCCCTTTGCCGTTCTCGGCGGCATCCTCAACGCCGTCGGATGTGGTCTTCTGTCGACCTTATCACCCACCACTCCTACACGCGAATGGGCCGGCTATCAAGCTCTAATAGGATTTGGTCGAGGAGCAGGATTGCAGACGGTAAGTCCAATCATTTGATTTCATCCCACTGTCGGACGTGTATCTGACGGAGAAGTAGCCTATGATAGCCGTTCAAAACGCCGTCCTGCCCGACGAGTTGTCAACGGCCATGGCTATCCTGACCTTTAGCCAGACCATTGGCGCTGCTATCTTTCTTGCGGTCGCAGAAGTCATCTTTTCTCGTGGTCTGAGAAGTACTATCCCGCAGTACGCCCCTACAGTCGACCCCGAAAGGGTGATTGCTGCTGGTGCGACTGGATTCCGAGGCATCGTGTCTGAGGCAAGTCTTCCCGGAGTTCTGCTCGCTTACTCAAAGAGTATCGGACACATTTTCTATCTGATTGCTGCGCTGAGTGTGGTGCAATTCTTTTTTGCATGGGGGATGGGCTGGAAGAATGTTGGCAAGCCCAAAGAGGACAAGTTGAAAAGGGAAGAGGAAGGGGAGGTAAATAGTTGAAGTTGAAAACCTGCGAGATCTGAAGATAGAGAGACTCCACTCACGTTCTACTGTCAGGGGACTTAAACATAGATTAGCGAAAGTAATATTCGTCGTACGAAGAATCCCTTACGCGAATTCAAGTCCGGAGGCTTACATGAATTAACTGCGACGTCAGATTCATTCCTTTTCTCTATATATATCACAACCAATAATAGTCGGTCTATTGGCGTTGACAAAAAATGAATGAAGACTTCAGGCATTAGTTTCACAAAGGTATCTTAATAAACTGCTCCAGCATGCGACTCTATGTATGCTACATGCTGGACTGCTTCCTCATGAAGCAGAAACCAATCTCATTTCCTCAACTTGGCGACAGTATGGAGTATTTCCCTGCTGATTGTGAAGATCCTACCCTAAACTGTCTTCGCATCTCAGCTTCCTGCACTAGTCGATGCAACCCTTCAATAGGGATGATCAGCCACAGCGGGTCGATCAAAGACACAAGGTCGGGCTTTTGGCCCCATTTCCCCGATTAAGCAATTCCCTTTCACTCCACAGTTGTGACCATGGGCTGACAAGCCGCAGATGGTAGTATTGCAGATGTTTCATCTTGTTACTTTGCCGGTGACTTTGCCGGTGCTACAGTTTCAGGGTGATTTAGCTCGTGCCCTGAAACGATGGATACCGGACCCATAAGCAATATAAAGCTTCGCCTTTGCCGGCAGGGTCCCATCTCGATTTCAATACAATTCACTCGGATTATCTTTTCTTAAGAAAAGTAACCTTCACAATGCGCTATCTTACAACTGCTGCCGTTCTGACTGGAGCAGGCCTGGCCTCGGCATATACTGTCCCAGCCAACCTACAGCAAATCTACAACAAACACAAGGTAACGTCTTCTGTCTTTTCGCATTGCGATCCCACTAACGTTGTAAGACTGGAACATGCCAGAACAAGCTGCAGGACGGCTTTTCCGATGGCATCGGCGGCTCCGGCTCCTTCGCCTACTGCGGCGACATTGAGGGGGCCATCTTCCTCCACAGCTCCGCAAACGGCGGCCAGTACGATAACATGGACATCGACTGCGATGGAGCGAACAACAGCGCTGGTGACTGCGCCAATGACCCATCCGGCCAGAGCATGACGGCGTTCATGGATACCGTTAAGCAGTACGGCATTTCGGATTTGGATGCGAACATCCACCCGTACGTGGTGTTTGGGAACTCGGGCAGCTCGCCGACCTTTGATCCTCAGCAATATGGAATGGAGCCGTTGAGCGTGATGGCAGTGGTGTGCAATAACCAGCTGGTACGTTTGCTATCACTGTTAACTTGTTGACGAAGATGAAGCTGACTGGTTAGTTTTATGGTGTCTGGGGTGATACCAACGGTGGAACCTCTACCGGGGAGGCTTCCATTTCGCTGGCTAAACTGTGCTTTCCCAATGATGGTATTACTGGTGATAACGGTCACGGGGAGGAGGATGTGCTCTACATTGGCTTCATGGGTCAAGATGCTGTCCCTGGTGCTAGTGCTGCCTGGACTGCTCGCGACACTCAGACCTTTGAGGCGAGTATCAAGGCCTTGGGTGATCGCCTCGTTGCGAAGCTTAACGCGTAAGGAAAATTATGTCGAATAGGTCAGCTAGTCGAGTGATATACATGCGTGTCCATAGTCGTACATCAGTTTAAAGTCCGTTATCACCAATTGACTCCTGGTCGGAGCACTTTGAACCCCAGCTTCTCCATCCTCTGCCAGTCAAGCATCCCATGAGGGTCACACAGCACTTTTGGAGACTCCATCCCCCCCGCGATCTTCTCCCAGTCTAGACGATCCTCCTTGAACTCATCCCATTCCGCGTGCAGGACAACCGCACCGCAGCCGGAACAGGCCGCATGCAGGTCCTCCACGACCGTGACAGCATCCAGATGACCACTCACAAGACCTAGCGCTCTCTCAATCTGCTCCTTTGGCATATGCGGATTGTAGATGTCCACCTTGACGCCAGAAGACATAAGTTCCCGCACCAGTCGCGTCGCGCTCGTATTACCGATCTCTATCGTGGTCCAACTGCTCGTAAATCCAAGGATGGCGACATCCCTCCGTTCCGTTCCTCCAGGTAGACTGTCACTGATGCGTTGAGCAAGGCGCCGCGTCTGATACGCGTCGATCCTCAGCACTGCCCTCCAGTAATCCGCCACCTCCTGTAACCCCAGCTCCCGTGCCAAATAAACCAAACACCCGACGTCCCTGAGCAAGCTCGATCCATTGGACCCAAAACCAGACGCAGAAAATGCCCCTACAGTCTGCTCGATATGCGTAATATTTGCATTCGTGGACTCGCATATCGCGCGCAGAGACTGGATGCTGCTTGTCTGCTGCGCTAGCATTGCGCTCGTGGCGATCTTAGCCAGTTCCGAGGACCAGGCGTCCATGGTGACGATGCGGTCCTCGGGGATCCACGAATACAACCCTTTCAGGGCGGTTAGTGCCTGGGGTGACATGTCCTCGGAAAAGATGTGGCCGATGATGATTCGGACTGGGTAGAGAAGGTCGCGGATGGCGGTTCCTGGGACTAGAAACTCGGGGTTGGAGAGCACTTCGAAGGAGGCGGATGGGGAGGCGGTTTTTTTGAGCTGCGGTTGTAAGCTCTTTATCTATACCATTCCTAATCAGTCAGGTCAACTTACCATTTTCTTGATTCGGGGGACAATCCCGCTTGGCCCTGTGCCCCGGTGGACGATGATCTTGTGTCCGCTTGACACTTGGACGATGGCCCGGATGGCGGACTCCAGGTTGGTCAGGTCGAGGCCGGGAGTCTGGTCATCGGATGACTGAAAATTAGTATGTATCGCTGTGCAGGTTGATGATGGGACAAGCTTACGTTGTCCAGAGGAGGGTCCACACAGAGAAAGACGATATCCGATGCCGCTATTCCCCCGGGGATGTTGGTTGAGAAAGTGATATTTCGCAGTTTCCGTATTCGCGGTTGACACAGAACTGGTTCATGTATTTGAACCTCCTGATCAGCTTGCTTCTTTGGTTTTTCCGAAGCCACGGCATGATGATCCTTCTCAAAGACAAGCTCATCCAGCCCAGGTTCACAGACTGGCAAGCGATCCGAATTCCACGCGGTGATCAGACGCGCATCGTCATCAACGACATGGAATTGGATATGTGGATTCTGCGACGCGAGAACAATCGCCGTCAATGCTCCTATATCTTGTCAGGCACGGCCTTGCGTGGTTTCTGAAGGCAACTAACCAACATGTCCTGCACCGATGATACAGGCACTACGAATGGATTCAATCTTTCCCTCGCGCGTCGAAGACTGTCCATCTCCGACACTCTCCGAATATGTATGGCCTCCAACAATGACTCTAGGGCTTTCTCTGTCGGCGATTGCCTTGTATCGACGGCGGGAAATCAGCAAGGTAAGGCCAGCCAACAGCACCAGCAACGGTAGGAAGGGCATTATGATATAGAATGTTGAATTGGCAGGGACGTCGCCTACTCTCCAGCATCTCCTCGTGATAACGACATAAACAAGCGAAGATGGAGAGAAACGTGCTCGACGGCGAACTGGTGATCCTTGCTGTATTGTCAAAAGAGCGGTCTGTCGTCAGCCACTATTGCGGAACAGTGCATGAACGGGTCTCGTGCAGCTATTTTTGAACAAACCGCACGATCCTTTGCCCTGTTTGCCATTGAAACTATATAATTGGGTGCCCGACATTGGGCTGTCCACGTTATGCCGTCTACGTGTCTCGCTCTCGGCAGACGAACAACCGGTTTCAATGGCTTATGTGCAGGCTCAGTGGAGGACAACACACACATATTCGAGAACATACCGGGTGAGTTTTCCGTCTACGTGTAATTGGGCGTTGACGTAGATAAACATTGGCCTCTCAAAATCGACCCAAACTGAGCATTACCGGTTATGTGACAATATTTCTCGCTTAGATGCTAGGCAGAATGCATCACCAGCCTGCCAAGGATATCGCCAAGGATATCGTCGAATCTCGGCATTGCAACTTGTCACGCCAATCAAACGATTAGTCTGCACCCAATGGCGATCGCTCTGAACATGTAAGCCTGCGCCGAAGCTAAGCCGCAGGACAAGTCGAGCCTCGGTGCTTAGTCCAAATACACCAAGAGCGCCGACGGACTGGCTTAGTGCTTACCCCCCTCCTTCACTCAATTCCAACAGACTTCAATCACAAGTAATCTCAATCAAACTTAAACTACCGCTGCTACGGGCAAATACACCACTATCTAAAACAGAGGATAAAGGATAAAATGACAGTCAACAACAACCTCCCCCGCATCGCCTGCTTCCACGGCGGGGCTCCACAGCCGCCATCTACAAGATCCAATGCGAACAGCTCGCCCATCTCCTCAAGAACGAGTTCCAGCTCGTCTTCTTCGAGGGTCCCTTTGAGCGCAGCGCCGGACCAGGCGTCCTGCCCGCCTTCGCGGACTACGCGCCTTTCAAGTCCTGGTTTACGCAGGATGAGCGCGGGGAGCGGGCAGATGGGAGCGGGTTCGACGCGTCGGGCAACGACGGGGTCGAGCGCGTGTGGAGGCTGATGGAGGACGAGGGGCCTGGTGGGCAGTGGGTCGCCGCGATGGGATTCAGTCAGGGTTCGCGCGTGGCGGGTGGCTTATTGCTGGATCAGCAGAGGCGGGCTGCGTTGGGCCTCCCGAAAAAGACGCATATCGAGCTGCTTTTCGGGGTGTTGTGTAATGGAGCCGGGGCGCCGATGGAGTCGGATGCGGCTGGGTGTATGCTTTCCTTTCCTTTGCTTCTGGTTGTTTCCTCTGCTTACCAGGTTTAGATATCACGAAGCCGGATGAATCTCTTAACCGGATTAGTCTGCCGACGTTGCATGTCCATGGACTCAAGGATCCATTCTTGATGTTCGGGAGGCAGCAGTTGGGAGAGTATTATAATCCGAAAACCGCGACGCTCTACGAGGTCGACTATCATCATGCTATGCCGTGGGCGAGACACGAAGCCCAGCGGCTGGCTGATCACATCCGAACAATTTACAAGAACAGCGCGAAGCAATGATTGACGGGCTTGCGGTCACTATGAATTAGACGGTCACGGGGGATGGATGCATGATCCAGCGAACGGATAGATTTCTTCTAGTCTTTGTCTATGGTTTTCTCTTGTCTTAGCTGCTACATCCTGCGCGTGCAGTAGTGCTATTGAATCATATTTTATTGAACGCCTGTTGTGGGTGTCACAAAATTCAGTACGTCCATAGCCGTTTCGTTTCATGTCGAGGGACAGAGGGCAAAACTCATTTCGTTCATGACATCGTGCCAACCATTCCAGTAATGTCTCAAAAGGAAAAATCGCATCAAAAACCCGCAAGAGCAATGAGTGAATGACAATCGCCAGGGCATGTCAAGAAGAGCATTCCAGAACAGTAATCTTAGGCAGGCAGGAGAGAGACCACCTTGGTCCAGACCGAATCGAAAGCCTGGTAGGTGTTTAAATTGCTGAGGTAGGTCTGGCTGGAAATGGCACGCAGCTGAGACAGCAAGTTCTCGAGATCCACGTTGGCAGGAACATCGTAGACCATGGACGCAAAGCGACTGATGTCCTGGCCCTTGATGCTCTGGAACTCATTGGCCGAAAGGGCTCGCACAAACTCGCTGTACGGCGACTCGAAGATGACGGTAGTGTCAGGGATCCCGAGGTAGGCGGCATCAGGAACAGTTCCGGGATTCATCACGATCTATATAGCTAGTGGTTAGCATGTCGGACGGACTCAGAGCTGTCGGCAGCTGGCTTACATAATTCCTCGCACCAAGTCCCTTGCTTCCTTGGATGAGCGAGGCCAGTTCCTGGTAATACTCGACTGCCGCGGCATCATACTCCGAGGGTGCCTCGTCCAGGAAGATGCCGTGCACTGCGAAGGAGGGATTTCCGCTGGCGGAGGGCCATTTCTCATACGTGTTGATTTCCTTTTTGACCTCCGAGATATCGCGGGTTCCCTTGCCAGTACGAACATATCCAATCACCAACGCGTTGCTGTAGGCTGTGAGTCTGGGAACTGCGGCCAGGAAGTTCTCGTCCGGCAGGGCGGTAGAGCCAGAACCATTATCAGGATTGATGATGATGGTGAACTGGACGTCTGGGTTGGAGCTGATCCTATTGACAAGACAGGTTAGAGCTTGGCTCTGACGCGAAGAACGAAAGAACGTACAATTGTTCCATAGATGTCCAGGCTCCCCCGGCTGGGTACGTGTACCAGGGGATCATGATATTTCCTTTCGACGCGCTGGTTTCAGAGGCTGAAGGGATGCATGCGCTGTACCCTTGCTGGACGATGGCCATGCATCCCATCAAGCCCACTAAAAAACGAGAATAGTTCTGCAGGAACATGATGGTTGAAGATAAGTAAAGGAATGACTGAAGCTAGTACAAAGGAATGACTGAGAATTTAAAAAAGGATGCTTGCCAGAAGCTGATGGGTTGAATCCTTCATCATTAGGAGCCGACATCTTCCCTATATACTCGAAGATTTATAGATTCGATGCCTTTGAGGATCTGAGTCTGAAAGTCAATTCTAGATCAAAGGAGCCGTGGCTTCATCGGCTGCCATGGATTGGGCCGAACGTCAGCGCTAAGATCGGACAATTTCTGGAGCTGAAACAAAATCTCCGCCACGGCGCTTTTCTTGTCACTTCATTTTGCATCTCTATAAAACTAATGCGGACTCGCTTACCATGACTTTGACCTATGCAAGACAAAGGAACTCAAGAGTGTCTAATCAGAATGCATGGCTGCATAGCAGCTGCTCGTCTTGTTTGTGACACCTCCTGCATTCAGTGGATGTATCATACTAGTTTCCTGTTGGACACTCATCCGCTTGTCCGGTACTCTTATCCAGCCTGTAACTATGACTTACTCCTTAATCTTATTATGGTGAGTTTGTGGCCAGAGGACCATGCGATACTTCTTGAAAAGCTGCATCTCTCGTCACATTCAAGGGACAAACATGCGCCTTAACTGACTAGGCGTTAGTTGCCTGAGTCTGGTAAATATTCCAAGACATAATGTGAAAGAGTATTCCCATCCTTATTACCATAGTTAATGCATCATACACTACCAGCAAATGAACTAAAGCAGCGTTAACAGGGCGCTGTCAATGGAGCAGTAAGCAAATGTATGCAGCATTGTTTGGCCATCACATCTGTCACTCGCATCAGCCTCATGCTTTAGTCTAAGAACATTGTTGAATGTGACAGTTTTGAGGACAAAAGGTCCTGGAATCTGTCTCGAAGACGGTGCGGGCTAGGCGCTGGAGGGAATATAATTCATGAATAGTTCAATGTGAAGGTTGGAGTGATATGGGTATAATATTTAATACTATCTCTCTAGTCAATAGAGTGAACCTATTATTATTCAAGCACCAGGCCCAGTATAGCCCACTACCTTTCTCCGCAAAGTCTATTAGCATGCCTTCATTTGGTATCGTAAGTAGAAAGCGCCAGACACGGGATGTCTCAATGGGCTATCTTAGCCTAGAGATAGCAGGTTAAGCCACCTCAGCATGCACAGAGTCAACGGGCTTCTCAGCCTCAACCACACTCTGCTGGCGATGCTTCTCAATCTCCTCACCAAACTTGTCATGAACCTTGTGCGACTGCCACGCCTTGACATTCGAGTCAAACATCATATCAATCTCTTCCAGCGACCGCCGCGCTGTCTCGGGATACATGAAGAACACGTGGAAGGTCATGACAGTGCAGAAAACGCCGAAGATGATGTACGTCTTCCACTTGATGTTGGTGAAGGCGGGCGCAACGAAATAGGCCAGCGCAAAGTTGAAAATCCAGTTGCCGGCTGCGGAGAGACCGACGCCTTTGGCGCGGTATTTGAGGGGGAAGACTTCGGAGGCGTAAATCCAGGCGGCAGGTGCCTAGATGGTTTTGTTAGTGTGAGGTCTTTGGACAGAGATGAGAAGACACAGAAGACACTCACCCATGTCAGACCATATACGCCAACAAAGATATAGGAGCAGGCGATGACGCCCTTTCCGGCCGCGCCCTTGATCTCCCAGCGCAGGTTCTTGTTGCCGTCGATCTCGTCGACTGGGTTGCCGTAGGTGGCCATGATACCGGCAATGGCATAATGCAGCGCCATGCAAATGATAGAGCCGGAGAGGAGCAGCAGTCGACGGCCGATACGGTCGATGTATGGCAAAATGACACCGGTGGTGACGAGGAAGATGACATACTGAATGGCCGACGAGTAGAGCACGGTGTCACCGGGCTAGATCATGTTAGCCAACCTCCCTTCTATATTAACGTCCGAGGAGCAAGAGCAATTACCATATTGGCCATCTGAAAAATATAAACCACATAGTACATGGCCACATTCCCACCGAGAAGCTGCTGCCACACCTGGACGCTAACACCGCACATCGTCCGCTTCCAGACCCGCGGACCAAACAGCGCGAGGAAGGAAACGTCTTTGGCCTCCCGTGCGATCCGCACGGCTTCCTGGACTTCCTCCCATTCGACCTGCACCTCGGGATGGTTGCGGTCCCCATGCCCATGCAGCAGGGCCAGCGTATCCAGACTTTCCTCCCAGCGCTCCTTGCTGGCCAGCCAGCGGGGCGATTCGGGGAAGAAGAGCAGGGCAACCGCCAGGATGAGACCGGGAACGGCTTGGATACCCCAGGCGATGCGGAACGCAGCAGGAGAGTGCACGCCCTCGGAGCAACCGTACGAGACCAGGTACATAATCAGAATACCCCATTCAATGGCCCACTGCTGGATGCCGACGATTCGGCCACGGATACGGGCGGGAGCCAGTTCAGCGAGGTAGACGCAGACCTGAGACGAGGTGATGCCCACTTGGGCCGGTTAGCTTATGTCGAGTCATGTTGAATGATGTCCAGGAAGGATACCTGAAAGACCGCTAATGACACGACCGGCGACTAGGTGTGCCACATTCTGTGCGCTACATTGGATGACAGCCCCGATGATCCAGATGAGCGAGGCTACGAGGAGAGATAGGCGACGTCCAATGCGGTCTGAGATGAAACCAGCTGCAATTGCACCGGCGAAGGATCCAGCAGACATGGAGGCAGTTATCTGGCCCGCGGTTCTGTCAGTTTGGCCTAGAAGTGGGCAGGGGTTGACATACGCCTCCTTGCAGGTTCGAGTCGGGAGAGTTAAAGTAGTCGAGGTACTGGTGTGTGCCTATCCACGCGCTCATGGAGCTATTGAGATCAGCTAATGCCAATGCAGAGCATAGGACATCGTATCTTGAGGCCTACCTGACATCGAACCCGAATAGAGCACCACCGATGGTGCCAAAGGCGGCCAGGACTATAATCCGTCAGTAGTTGGGCGTGATTGACAATTGCATAGGCGTACCGTATATGTTGGAAATCCGATACATCGTGCCAGACGTGAGTGCGCACTGACCTGGAGGAAGCCGTCGAAGTGACATCGGTCGAGTACACTGGCAGTTTATATACAACTCGCGTCAGGCCCTGACGACGGCATCTCCAGGCCGGGTTCCACCTGGAAGTCCGGGGATGGTGCCAGAATCGCAGGACAGCCGAGTAAGATATCCCGCAAGAAGTAACGATCAGCCAATCCGTGAGAAGCCGGGAATGCGGGAGTCCGGGGATAGGACCTGGAGACTTGGAGAGCACCGAACGGACAAATCATCGGCTCCAGGGAGAGGGAGAAAGTGAGGCCGAAGTGCGTCACCGGTGGAGTCTTGTATCTGGGGCCATCCAGTCGGTTTTTTTGACGGCGGGGGTTTTCCCTCTTTATCCGTCGGCTGAACGAATTTAACCGACTAAAAGCTGTCTTTCAGAGCACATTCAACTCATGTAACATAAAGACACAAGTCATGTTGAAGGAAAGTTGACGATGCGTCACGGCATCTACTAACCGAGATTTTGTGTCATAGCATGATAGTATCAAAGGCTTTTATCCGGGGTAAGATGCCTCTTACCTGCCATTGTCCTTGATACTTTATGCCTTCCACTCTACCTTCCACTCAGACTTTGTCCTTTCGACTCAAGGCAGAGTATAACCTGATATCTCGGGAGCCAGCAGCATCGGGACGATCCGCAACTCGGTCGGGATGGGCTGCGATTTCACTGCCGGCAGCTAAAGACGCCACCGACGACAGTGGCCAGGGATCAGACAAGGCGTGTGTATTGAGGCCTTTCCTCGTTAGTCTAGTTAGTGCGTTTATTAGCCGAAGCAGCATCGGTGGCTGTTTTATGTATCTTTGTATCTTTGTCATTACTACTGTTTGACAACTGACCTAAGAGAGACCTTACATAATTTAATGCCCAAATTTCCAAAGGATGTCTATTTTTTTGATATCTTTTCCGATAACCGACAATTTCCCTACGCCTTGAGCTACTATAGTGGTGGACGGTTCGATCCCCTTAAGTGACTACTGGACTGCTTAAATCAAGGCCATGAAGACCATCGTGATTCAAATAAGATCATCCACGGGAATGGTCGGGTCGGGTCTATAATTGATCTATTCCGTCTCACAATGCTCCCATCCCATCAATCGCTTCGCCTTATCCGTTGTCCAGAACCCCTGATTACCCGACATGTCAGCGCGAATCTCCGCGTCGGGAAAGTACTTTCGCGCCAGCTTTTCGGACGGTATATCCTGCGTAGTCGTCGGCGCAACGATATTGAAAATCTCGCACCCCTCCCAATTATCACATTTCTCCACGGCCAGCAAGCACGCCCGCGCGGTCGCCACGGGATTCACCCACCCCCAGAGCTGCTTCACCCCGGCATTCTCCCAGTCATTCTCGTGGACCTTTTGTACCCGTTCCAACGACGACACCTCGTGGATCCGCAGACACGCGACCTTCATCCCGGGGAACCACTCCGCGAAAGCTTGAGCCTGGATCTCCGCTTCCCGTTTCGCCAGGGCATATGAGTCTGTGGGATGCCGGGGGCTTCTTCGTCTATAGGGAAGTAGTCGAAGTGTAACGGTTGGTTGGAAAAGGCAAGACCAATAGCGTTGACCGACGAGGCGTAGCAGAACCGCTTGATCCCTACCTCTGCGGCGGCGCGGAGGCCGTTGAACGCCGAGTCGACGTTGTTGTTGTGCACGACGTAGTCGTCCTTGCTGACCGGGTTGGGGATCGCGGCCAAGTGGATGACTGCGTCGCAGCCGCGGAAGGCCTCGACGGTTTGCTGGTAGTTCATGGCCACGTCCGCCGTGCGCATCTCGGTATTGGGGGTGTCGCCAGTCGGGGCTGCTCGGTTCGGTTCACTTGCACAGTGGTGTGTCCTGCGTCCGCGCACACCTTGACGGCGACGCGTCCTACGCTTCCGCGGGCTCCTGTGATTGCTATCTTCATTCTGGCTCGATGCAGTGTGAATAGGGGTAGTTGAGGTGTCCAGCGGTTGATTATACCGGGATCGACAACCCCAAGCAGGTGGTGACATGAGAAGAAGATCAAACGTCCCTCTCGGACATAAGATATGGTTCGAAGGAGAGACAATCGCATCCTGACGTCAGGCACTCACATCACCATGGGGTCACTAGATAGACACGCTATCTGTAGCCTGACATACAGAAGCTGGATGCGTCGGGAAAACATTTTGACACTGGAGCAGTCATGACAGGCCATCTTGCAACACGTATGAGTGCATGCCACGCTCTTAAAGCGTTCCTCGATGCAAAGAATTGAGGGGAGTCCGTTCAGCCTCGTACACTTCTTCGGACCTTGGTTCCGCACCAATGGATCCTGGGAGAAGGTAGATATTCCCATGCACCAAACGACTTTATTGACAAATATAGCACATTGGAGACTGTTATGAGCTAAGACAACACCCACGCCGAAGACTCGCCCGTGGACTGTAGATGTTTGCGGGACTAGGCGATGTTTATCATCGACAATATATTTTCTGAGCATGGTCGCTTATCCTCCATCTTGGCGATAGTCGACACGAAAGCTAAGTCTCATGAACAAGAATATAATGAGAAGGATAAGCCCGAATTATCACTTTTGCAAGACGAGGAAAAGCAGACAAGCTGTGAGCATTGCAAAGTCAAAGCTGAGGATCACAGAGAGTCCATCTTCGCAACCTCAGGCATCAAACTTGCTCATTCGAGTTAGTGATCAACCACGTGACACTCTCCGAAATTCCTCACTTGGTCCAGCCCGAGCACAGAAGCTATCAGGCACTCCTGAGCGGGAAAATAACCTAGAGGAATCTGTCTTAGATAACAAGCTGTAGAATTATTTGCAAGGTCTCACAATCCGTATATTCCGACATAAGGGCAATGCGGAGGCCCCGCAGCGAGGGGTACTAGTCACGTGACATTGTGCGGGAGCCTCGCTTATTGGAGATTTGCATGACGAGCGTGCGCAGTATGATGCAGGCTTGACGACGAGCATTCTCTGCGACAAGGGGCTCATTCTTGTTTCATCTGGAAAAGAAGTGCATTGCGACGGTTCCTCAGAATGATCCTCAAAGAGACGACCCGGCTGGAGCTGCCGGCGGCGGCTGACATGCACGTCCACCTGCGCCAAGGCAAGATGATGGAATTGGTTGTGCCGCAGATTCGCAAGGGAGGAGTCGATACCGTTTTTGTTATGGTTAGTACATTTGCCTCTTTCACTTTGCCTCTTTCTGTAGGGCTATGGACTGACTCCGACAGCCCAACCTGGTCCCGCCCGTCACGAGCGTTGCCCAGGCACTGGAGTACAAGGCCCAGTTGCAGGCCATTGAGCCAAATGTGAACTATCTCATGTCGCTGTATTTGAATATATGTTCTCTCGTCTTTCTTGCAGAGATAGCCCCTGCTGACTGGTCCTTACCAATCCGTTACCCCCGAGACTATCAGAGAAGCGGCTGCTGCTGGTATCACCGGTGTCAAGGTGTATCCCCAGGGTAAGGTCAACCACTCATCTTTCAGGGCTGCGCGTTGACTGGTAGCAGGCGTGACCACCAACTCCGCAGCCGGCGTGCGCGACTACGACGAATTCTTCCCCGTCTTCGCGGAGATGGAAAAGCACGACATGGTCCTCAACCTGCACGGCGAGGTCCCCGGCTCCCCCGGATCGGACATCACCGACATGAACGCGGAAGAAAAGTTCCTTCCCACCCTGAAGATGTTGAATGAGAAGTTCCCCAAGCTGCGCATCATCCTCGAGCACTGCAGTACCGAGGCGGCCCTGGAGGCTGTCCGCTCCTGCTCTTCGACTGTTGCTGGTATGTTGCGTAGCTGCTTTTGTGGGATCCTATTTCTTATGCTGGCTAACTGACTTGATGGCAGCGACCATCACGGCGCACCACCTCTACCTCACCCACCACAGCTGCGAGAACCCCCTCGCCTTCTGCAAGCCCCTCCCCAAGACCTCCAAGGACCGCGATGCGCTACTCCGCGCGGTCTGCAGCGGCGACCCCAAGTTCTTCTTGTATAGTTGACTATGCCCCCTTTCTCTATCTCAAAGCAATGACTAATATACTATCCAGTGGAAGCGACAGCGCCCCCACCCGCGTCTCGCGAAGCAAGGCGGCGCGGAGGGAACGGCCAAACCGCCCGCGGGTGTCTTTACGCAGCCCTGTGTCGTGCAGTATGTGCTTCTGGCGCTGGAGGAGGGCGTGGAACGTGGCGTCATCGCCAACGAGGATATTACTCAGGAGAAGCTGGCGAATTTCCTCAGCGTGTATGGGCGCCGGTTCTACAAGTTGCCTGAGGCGAAGGACAGGATTGTGCTGGAGCGGAAGGGGGAGGTGATCCCTGAGAGTGTGAAGAGTGAGGACGGGAGTGTGGAGGTGGCGTTGTCCCGCGGGGGAGATGAGGTGTTTAGTTTGACGTGGAAGAGCGAGTAGTAGACTCCGTGAAGTGAAAATACAGGATATTCTGTGTGGAATGGGGATGTAGATAACTACAAATACTGACTACTACATACATCATGACATGAACTTATATCAGATAGCTACAGCCGTTAGAAATGTGCAGCCGGCGGGGTGTCCTTCCCGTTGAAGATGGGCTCTGAGCTGCTATAACCACTGTCAGAGTCTCTTCAACAAGATTCAACTAGCGATATGTATATGTGAATTTGTGCAGAGGTGTCTTATACACGACTGATGGAGTATATACAATACAATACAATTCTACCACGACTTACCCAGTCTTTGCGGGCACATCGGGAAAATCGGCCTCCACACCATCGATACCCTCTTTGGGGGGACCGGCATAGTTGCGGTAACCCCAGACCAAGTACCAGAACGCAGCAATGGCCGTGAACCCGACGAAGACGACACAGGCGTAGTTCATGGTCTCGAGGGTGACGACCTTGTACGTAGGCATGCAGAACAGGGGGATAGCCAGAAGGCTCCATGCTGTAGACCCGTCAGTAGGCCGCCAGTAGTGAGTTTTATGAGATTGCGACCGGCGCGAGACTTACCCAGAGCAACCACATTGCAGATACTGCCGATAATACCCAGGTTGAATCTGGCAGTGGCGATATCCGAGCGACGACGGAAGAAGAACGAGACCGCGATGGGGCAAGCGTAGCTGAGAGTCAGGAAGATAACACCGACTCCAGAGAAGGCGTTGAACGCGGCGGTGGAGCCAAAGTAGATGGCACCTAGCGCAATCTCCACCATCATTCCCAGCATCATGGCGTTGAGGGGCATGTCCAACTTCGTATTGACGGTCTTCCACCACTTGGAACCGGGGATACCGCCGTCGCGCGCAAACGCCCAGGTGCAGCGGGAGGCGGCCGTCACACATCCCACACCGCAAATGATGCCGAGAATGAGCAGAGGGAGGAGCAGCAGGAAAGCACCGGTCGAGCTGCCGAGAGCGTCTTTCAGGATCACGGGGGTGGGCTGACCAGACGCCAGGCTGACCAGCATGGTGATATCGGGCAGGACAAAGGTTAAGGGTAGCAAGAAGCCCAATCCGGCGACAAAGTTCAGCACGATGGTCCACACCATGGCTTTGGGCACCTGAATAGCAGGCTCGCGAACTTCCTCACACATACTATCAAATATTAATGGACTGATCATAGAAAAGTGAGAAAAGGAGAACTCACGAGATGATCATTCCAGTTGCCGAGGTGGCGTATGCGGCCTGCAACAAACCGATACAGAAAGACCAGCCGGCGGGCCAGCCGGACTGGGGCTCAAAGTCGGTGAATACCCACTTACCAGAGTGTCGACCATGTTTGGCGACAACGAGGACACTGATGATCAGGGCAATCAGGCCGATCAGAGTCAAAAAGATGGCCGAAGTCTAGATTGGGAGACCACGCATGAGAAGTCGCATCGGGGCAGTCAAAATACTGGTCGCAACGAAAGAAGAAACATACCTCCAAAATGGGGAGCCATTTGTTGCCTAGGGAGGAGATCGCATGGGTCAACAGGGTGATGGCGAGGAAGATGAGATAGATCTGGTAGGTCTGCATGTCATCTACAATACCGACACCGGGTGCTGATTCGAAGACATTGAGACAGGCGACAAAGAACAGGGTAGTCCCAAAGTTTACAGCCAGGGTAATGGTGATATTGCCGAGGACATAGGCCCATCCACAGATCCAGGCAGCGGCGCGACGGCACCAGGGGGGCGATAGGGCAAAGGTTTGGTAGTAGACGCCACCGGCAGTGGGATAGACGGAGGTGATCTCGGCCAGCGAGATGGCTACACACAGGACGACGAGGGAGACGATAACCCAGCCCCAGATGATGGTGGACGGGCCTCCTGCGGCGAGTGGGTAGAAGAAGGTGGTAGCCAGACCGTAGGGGACGGAGGAGAGGATAAAGCACATAAAGGCGACCTGGAGTACTGAACGATTGCGGGAGAGTTCTGGAGTATAGCCCAGATGCTCTAGGATGGCGTCTGCCGAGCCTTTGTCGGTGCCAGTCTCCATGATGGCGGCGCTGGTGGTGGTGGTGGTTGTGGAGGAGAGGGTGGAGGACGGAGGGGTTCCGGGCTTGGTCGCGTGGGGAAGAAGGATATAGGTAGGTCGACGGGAAAGGAACGGACGTGGGACACAAAAGATGTATGCGTCAGAGAAGCATACTCATATAGCAATATACAACGGACCGGGCTGGGTAGACTGCGTTGGGCCTTGAGTGGGAGTATCGAGAGAGCTGCGATGGACAGAGGGCGATGCTGACGGTTATTAAATGATAAGACTGAAAAATTTGAGGAAGCCCGAAACAGTAAGATTTAGACTCTGCCCACGTGAGAAACAGCGCAGCAGAACGAAAAGAGAATAATTAATGTCTTAAGCAAGGATACAGCGGGGCATGATTCGACAAAGCAAGGTTTGTGAGCGACTGGGACTAAGAGACGGCCACGAGGAGATAAGAGGATGATTGGAGCAGCCATCGCCCGACACGGAATGAATGACGACGGTGGAACAAGCTCGTTTAATTGCCTCAAGGACATTTGCTGCGTGAATGTCTCGAGTTCCACCCAGACGGAGGCTCGGAGATCCACCGTGACAGTCCGTCTGGAGATATGCAAGTTGCAGTGTCGCTCGCTTGCTTGGATTTGGTTTGAGTGTACGGGGTACGGAGTAGATAGGAATAGGATTACCTATTCAAGGAAAGATTTGAGTACGGAATAATACCCATCGAGACCTTAACTATCTGTCTGTCAAGTCATGTAATACGGGATAGGAGTCACTGGACGATTTTGCCTGTTTTGGAATAGAGTTGACCTGAGTGTTTTAGTTTGGGTCTGGAGGAATCATGAACCGAGTTACAAAAGTTATCTTCGAACTCTAGGACTCTAGGAACCAGACTAGGAGTAGACTAGGACTGGATAGTAAAAGTATCTCGCAGAGGACAATGGTTTAATGGCGCATGGAAAAACTCTGCTGTTTCCGATTGTATTGAACCAATCAGATCGCCGCAACAGAACCAGGCGTTATGGACCAATCATCGACCACAAAAGCAGTTTGGTAGTGTTAAATCTGTTGGAATAGCCTCGGCTGAGACATTAATTAATTAGTGAATCCTCCGGTGTGTGCCAAGTGCTAGAGAGTAGAGATTAAAGAGCAGGTTAAAACGAATCGGTTCCTCTCTTCCACTAGGATTTAGTACCAGAAGTTCTGAGTACCAACTGTCCACTAAAGGACCACTATCCCAATAGCAAGAATCAACACTGCCATCCCCGTGTCGATATGCATCCGGATTGATCCCGTTCCAGAGTCAGTGGTGGCAGCATGGAGTGCAGCAGTCTTCACCGTACTCGAAGCAGCAGCGATCGTCGCCGTCGATGTCGCCGTCGAAGACGCCTTTGAGTCTGCAGTCGAGTTCGTCGTCTGCTTCTCAACTACTTTCTTCAACATGCCCGTATTGTACAATGGCAGTGTATCATTCTTGGTCCATCCGCACTTCTCGAGCGTCGCCCAACCATACGTCGAATTCTGCCAATCGTCAAAGAGCACGCTGCTAGAAATCAACTCGACGCGCTGACCATCCTCCGTCATGCCCGTCATATGAATACCAAACTGGTAGTTATCGTACGGATATTCGTGACAGGCCCAGAAATAGGCCAGCGCGCAGGTCCAATCGCAGCCGCCGTCGTCATAGTAAGAGCTGCTCTGGCCGATATAGCAGTATGATCCGTCACTAATCGAACAAAACATGTCAGTACCAGTCCCCCTCGTTGGAGTACATTAGCTACGTACTCATCTTTAGCGCAGGACCGCATCAGGGCATATTGCAGGATATGTCCCAGCGTCACAACTGGCACAAACACCTGGTCCCCGAGGTTATCCAGGTCGTTAGTCTTTAATGCTGCGTCGCTGGCCTTGTTGCAGGTCTTCTCGACATTCGCGATATACGCCGACAAAGACGACTGGCAGGTGGCCGTGCAGGTGCGGTCAAACATGGGCGAGTCGTAGTCGGGCAACCACCACCGGTCTTCCTTGGACACGGCCAGTGAGAGCAGAAACTCATCGCAGTCGATATTCGCGCTGTAGGCGTCCTTGCATTCTTGCGAGGTGGTGCTGGACAGGCTGGCCGTGGTGTAGTTCCAGTCCTTGGTGGGGGTATTGAGGCTGAAACTCCACACTGGCACAACGCCAATCGCGAAAAGGAGTGGAAGGAGAGAATACATTTCGATCAGTTGATCCTCGGAAGGACGACGGGTTAACTTAAAGAGTGACTTGGTTGAACTGAAGGACAGTGACTACATGAACCTGCGTCCGTACCGACGACGCCAGGTTGAGGACGAACAACCAGGGGCACGTCTCGTACTTATGAGCAGGTCAGGTTACATTCTGTCAACAAACTGCGGATAACTCGGTGCCGACTGCGCAGCGATGAGCTAGAGCACAGTCCGCGGGCTCGGCATGAACTGGTGGCTTTTTTAGCGATGAACAATTAGCTATGAGCGTTGAGCGATTGAGCCATTAAAATATCCGGCCATCTCTAGAGAAGTACATTGAATTTTACATAGAATCGTAGTGATGTATGCATTCACAAGTATAGTAGACTGACTCTCACTTTCCGCATTTCAGTATCTAAACAACCGAACAACAGAAGGATCAACAGCAGATCATTGAGCCAAATGATGCGTTGAGCTTGGATGAGCTGCCAAGAGGCTCTCATTAAACTACGAGTCACTAAGAGGCCAATTCTCAGGGTCTAGTGGGTCTAGCGCTGAATGTTTTCCATACAGAGAACCCTGTTTTTCCATAGTCTATGGGTGTCTCACTTTAGTTTGTCCTCGCTAGTCGCGTATTGCCCCTTTTGATTGAGCCGCACTGTTCCTGTTTGTCCATCGAATCACGATTATGGACCTGTCGCATTGCTGGCCTCGGATGATGCTCCATGGAAGCTGCCTTGGCTAGTTATCTTATCCTCCGAAAGGAGCTTGGCTCGTCTGTTGCCCAAGATAGAAACCAGTTCTACGTAATTCGAGAGAGATGGAGGAGAAAGAGATGGTATTTGAAAGGGACCACTTATAAATATAGAGTTGCAAGATGTGCATTCTATGATTGATATCTACAAATACTCCAGGATAATGCTATCCCACATAAAGCCATGCCACCGGCTGGCCTTGCTCACGGCAAAGTCAATCGAATTCCAGCCAGGCTGCAGCTTCCCTTGGGGGATTTCAAACTGGAACAACCGCCACTCGCCAGCGGTCGTCGCCGACCGATACAGACAGGGATCGTTTGGGAGGGTGGTCAGATTGCCGATCGGACTGGCCGCATCGCCATTCAGGAGAATTGTCGAGGTGGTTCCCGACGAGTACCCAGCCAGAGAGACAGTGAGCAGCGCAGCCGAGCTCTTGGCCGCCTCAAACCGGATCGACCATGTTCCCAACGCGGCCTGTCCAAAGCACCAGTCCGCAGTCTTGCTCTGGCCAACGGTGTAAGTCAGGTTCGCAGGGCATTTGGCGACCAGCGCGTGCTCGTACGGAGCGCCGCCGTACTGGAACCCCAGCGACTTGCGGTCAAAGTCGCCCACCCGAAAGATTCTCGTACGCGAGGGCACCTCCCATTTGAGCGTGCCAAGCTTGGCCGTGTGCGACTCTCTCACGGTCACGTCGTTCTGCAGGAAGGAGGTGGCCACGTCGGCGAGCTGGCCGCCGTTGGACCATGCTTGCAGCCCGTAGTCGCCGGTTCGCACGTCCTCAAATTTGAACTGGCCCTTGTCGTCCGTCTGGCCGGTGTAGTAGTAGGTTGTTCCCATGTCCAGTGCGGTCTTGTTCGGGTGGTTGTCGCCCAGGAAGACCGATGCGCCGGCGGCTGGTCGGCCGTCGGAGAGCACCAGGCGTCCGGAGACAGAGCCACGAGACTGGTAAGCTTCGTCCTCGAACCATTTGTAGGGCCATGCTTTGAATTCGTCAGCTGCGCGGGCGCCGGCGTCGGTTTTCGATCCGTCGTTCTATTATTGCCTTTGTTAGTGGGTCGGTCATCTGAGAAACTACTAACAAAGAAACATACCAAGTACCACAGCCACGGGCCCCAGACCTTACCGTCGGGAAAGACATCGTTGGACGAGACCATAAAGTGAGTGCCGTGGATCATGTTCAGCTGCACCGCATCGCCGGTCGAGCTCTCACGGTGCACCATCAGTTCCTGCTTGAGATGGTTCCCGTTGTAGTAGTCCTTGCCCGGATTGATGTACCACGAGCCAAACTCGTCGCCATACACCCCGTAGTAGTCCTGGTCGCGGATCCACGCGGTCCAGTCGTACTTGGTAATGTACGACCCGTCGGCCTGCTGCCACGTCTCGTCCTGGACCTTAGTGCCGCTGGCGATCTCCGCCAGTGTGGGAAGGGCGCCGTCCTTGATGTTTGTCCGTCCGTTGGGGAAGCTCGTGTTGTCCAAGCGCCACAGTGTCCGGAACTCACCCAGCGTGGGGAGGGCGTGGTTGACAAAGTACTGGTACGCGCCGATCAGGTCTTCGAAGATCACCCAGTGGAAGTCGCCCTCCTTGGCGGTGAATTGGATATCGAGGAAGTCTTGTCCTTTTGTCTTTCCTTTGCGATAGATTTCCGCTGATGTCCAGTTCAGGTCGGATTGCGCGCCATCTAGTCATCCCTGAGTTTGGTACATGGTCAATTTAAGTGGCAGAAGGTGACTTACTGTAGCTGACATAGTGGCCCACGGCATCCCCTACCAAATCCTTGCCTTTGTAGTAGAGCTTCACCCCGTACTTCTGCCCAATGGTGACATTCCACAGATCGTTTCCGATGATATGCGTGGTATCGTCGACCTTTTGCAGAAAGGGCCCTTTGGCGTGCGCGCCAGCCGCCAATGCCAGGCTCACAAAGGATGAGAATCGCATGCTGATCGATTCCTTCAGGGATGCAAGGATACTCCTGTCTTTGAGAGCATCACGCCAACAAGTATTTGTACCCCAGATATTTTCCCCATGTTTTGGAGATGCCAAGTTTGATTTCGGGGGAAGATTAGCACGAAATGCGGGGGGCGGAGACCGAGGCGTTGATGCTGGATCATGGATGTATGCCAATGGTGGAATTATTTTCCCATTTCCCCGGATGTTTCTTTTTGGCTAGGCTTGAGGAGAGGCGTCATTAATTAGAAGAAACCCAAGAAAGGGCACTTCGGGGTATTTGAGAGCGTTGTTCGCCAAAGACGATGCACTTATCCCGAGTCCGCTAACTGAAGGCCAAAGCAGTCATTATTTCTGATGGTTCTATTCATAGCAAGCACACCAAGTAATTCTGCATAAACTCTGCAGAATAATACCAAGTTCCCTATGCATAAGCCCGTGTTGATATGCATCCTGTAGACTCGTATTGCTGACGTGTTCTTTGCTAGTCCAAGGCTCTATACGAGAAATGCTATGAATAGTAGCGAAAGAGGCCCATCGCCTAAGGTTATTTGGAATAAGCATTGATACTCCATCAGAGTGTCCACTTGTTGACATGGGCTCCATAATGCTATTGCAGACTTCAGTCTCCCAGTTATATACCAGTGGTATCAATTATCGACCATATGCCTCATGATCCGATTGATCGCACAGCTCCGTAATAAGCGTGAGACAGGGAGACTCAGCTATAAGGAACAGATAATCTATCAGGGAGGGAGAGCCAGACGCCTGAACAATGTATCCTATCAGTAATAAGACTCCGCATTCCAGGGGCCAGCCTAGGCTCAACTTTACTCCTTGAGGATTCCAGAAGGACCAAGGAATATACGAGGGATTGTCGATCAGACCCCCAATGCGGCCAAGGACACGTGCATTTCCATTCCTTTTTCCCCATCCGTCTCGTCCCCGATTTGATCTCCTGTCCCAAATCGATTCAATTGGATCTCCCGCTCAATCTAGAGCGGACTGGCCGACTTGCGTTCGGCCTGTCTCACTTTCCTCCATTCTGTCTCTGCGGTGAATGTTCCACCCGCAAGATGAATACACATCTGAAATCGGACATTCAGATCTGTAATCGTAGGTCTAAGCAGTATATCTGGATGAGATGTTCTGGAGATACGATCTGCATGAACAACACACCCTGCATTGTCCCTGGTAGTCAATTCGGAGGATTACCCCAGTCTTGTCCTACCGTGCCCTGTTCTATTTTTAATGTCGAGTCGTCATCTCCAATCCAAGACGCTCTAAGGCATGAGGAAAAGCATATGAGCAGTCAGATCAAAGATATCATCCAAGCGCACGACACCCAGAACAACTACTCTTCGTATTTGGTCGCATTAACTGGGTTATCCTATGGTGAGATCCAGCTGGAAGATCAGCCAACGTTACATTCCCAGCAGCCACACAACCCAGATTCAGGACGGTTCTCCGTGAAGGAGTGTCTGATCGAGGACTGACTTGATAAGCGATACGACGGGCTCCCGTGTTCTCCGGTTAAGTGCATGCATGCTGAGTGGCAGACTGGCGAAGGTTATCTATCCAGCCTCGTTGATAACCAGCACGCTAGCACGGTCAGACCAAAGGGGCTTATCGCAAGCTAAGCCTTTCGGCCATTTTATTGGCAGATAGGGCATATGTTTAGAGTGAGGTGGTGTTGTGCGAGAGAAAGTTCGTGGCCTCTGCCGGCTGTCTTTATATTACTCGATCCCCCTGATTGTCCTCGTCCCCTCCCGTTATTCACTGCGGATCTTCTTATTCTATCGCTTTTGTCTTTTACCTTCCTACATCACCATGGAGGCTCCCACGTACGAGGCTTCAAGTAGCCCCAATGGCCCCCGTGAAAAGGAAGGAGGCATCCATTCAACTATCGATGTCGACCACGATTATGGAGCCGACACCGACCTCCACCGCTCCCTGAGCACCCGCCATCTTACCATGATTGCGCTGGGCTCGTCAATTGGTATGGGATTATGGCTGGGAAGTGGTACCTCGCTGGTCAACGGTGGTCCTGCCGCCATCTTCATCGGATACCTGCTGAGTGGGACGATGATCTGGGCGGTTTCTCATTCCATCGGTGAGATGGCCGTTGTCTATCCACTTCCCTCGGCCTTTGTGCAGTGGTCGTCTATCTTTATCAGTGAGCCGGCTGGATTCACACTGGGTTGGAGCTATTGGTTTCAGTTCTTCATTACCCTGGCCAATGAACTGCAGGTTCGTCTTCTCCAGTCTGTGGGTAGGGTTCGATTCTGACTGCTACAGGGTGTGGTCACCGTGCTCAGCTTCTGGACAGACAAAGTGCCGACGGCTGCGTGGATCAGTATCTTCTGGGTAGTCATCCTCTTGATCAACGTCTGGGCGGTCAAGTTCTTCGGAGAAGTCGAGGTTGCTGCCTCATCGATCAAGTTCTCCTGGATCATCATCGTCATCATATCTTTGATCGGTATGCATCCTCTGGACCTTGGGTTGAACATCTCTAACTCCAAATAAGTTGTCTCTGCTGGAGGCGCCCCCGCTGAAGGCCCCATTGGCTTCCGCTACTGGAACGCCGAACCGTTTACCCACGGCTTCAAGGGCTTCCTCTCCGTCATGCCGACCTGCATTTTCGCCATGTCTGGATCGGAAAACACTGCGCTGGTGGCCGCAGAGACCAACAACCCCCGCAAGTCGGTGCCTCGCGCCGTCGGGTCGATCTGGCTGCGTCTCTCGCTCTTCTACATCCTCGGTTCGTTAATGGTCACCATCACCGTCGATCCCAAGGACCCAAACCTGTTTGGTGCCTCCGGCACCAACGCCTCTCCCTTCGTCATTGCCTACCGGAACGCGGGACTCGTCCCACTGGCGCACATCATGAACGCGGTCGTTTTCATTTCGGTGGTCTCGACGGGAAGTATCCAGGTGTATGCCGGCTCTCGCACGCTGATGGGACTTGCGCATCTGAAAATGGCACCAAAGGTACTTGCATCCCACCATTCCTATCCTCAAGTCAAACCTAGCTGACTGACTGTGACAGTTCTTCGGCAAAGCAGACAAAGTCGGCCGTCCCATCGCCGGTCTGGCCCTTACCCTGGTCGTCGGCGGCGGATTGGCCTACCTGAATGTGAACAACAGCGGCGCCGAGGTCTTCACCTGGTTCTCCAACCTCACTTCCCTCCTTACCCTCTTCGGCTGGGGTATGATCTGCCTATCGCATCTCCGCATGCGATACGCCTGGAAGGTCCAGGGCCGGTCGCCCTCGGAACTGCCGTGGAAATCCTGGACGTACCCCATCGGCGCCGTCTGGGGTCTCTTCTGGTGTGTGCTGCTCATCATCGTCGAGTTCTATCTCAGTGTGTGGCCGCTTGGCGGGAAGCCGACGGCGAAGGGCTTCTTCGCCAACTATGTCAGTGTGGTGGCAATTATTGTCATCTATATCGGATCCATGATTTACTACAAGGGGCCGCTCCTAAATGATGCGAGAAGCATTGATTTGGATCAATTCCGCCGGTTCTATGTTGATCCACGGGATGAGGAGGCCAAGGCTGAGAAGACAGGGGTGAAGAAGTACCTGTCCAAGGGGATTGGATTTGTGTTTAACTAGTTGGCATATGCCTGTGTGTTCATATATAGGGTAGTTAGGCGATTTGTACAGTCTCATTCTCACCAATGATATGTCGTGATTCCTCAATGCAATAATGAACGGCCCTCGATCGGACAAGGCATGTGCGGGTTTTAACTGTGGAGGTGATCAACGCATATTAGTTTGGGTATCGTGTGGTACAGGATAGTGGTAGTGTAGTGTGTGGCATCAACAACTATAAATAACCAAGAAAATATGAACTTTCGCCTTCAGAACATCTCATCTTAACAATATTGACTGCTTCATCGAATCAACCATCCTCCCCTCCAGCGTATCGATGACAACAACGCTGATCCTTGCACGACTAGATGAAGGTTACAGGGGATGAAGAGCTTCAGGATGCGCAAGGTTTCCACATATCTATTTAAGTTTGAGGGGGGCGAAAGGAGTGCCGTAGGGAAGAACTGCAGTCTCGTGCCAGAATTATGGTTGATTTGATTGTCAGGAATATTTACAATGGATAATGGAAGTGCCATTTCATTTTTCTGCGATTATCTTTTTATCCTATTGTCTGCCGTGTCGTGTGAACAGCCAGGTCTCGAGCACAGTGAGAAACGATGCAGTCAACCAGTCAGCAAGGCTCTCAGTCTTGGATAGATTAACTGTCAGCACTAATCTAACATATCCTGCCCTGATTGGCTAACCGAATACAAGGTGCAAAGCTCCTGTTAGTTCATCGTATCTGCCAATTATTGAGCGGATATTGGCACCCAACGACCCACTGCCCGCTGATATACGAATTACTAGCTTACTGCTTTGTTTAGGAATCCGTAGCTTCCGACACCTTCCTCTGAATATGAGACGATGTCACCATCCAGAAGAATCAAATAGATACACTCATCTAATGATCCAACTTGCTCATTCATCAGTCAAGCCGGACTAACGATGGTATCCGCCAAGTGGCACCCTCCTTACGCGGAAGATCAGCCATATGCGCACCTCATTCTTACCACCCATGTCCTCGACCGCGGCTTCCAAGCGGGCTCCGTGCTCGGAGTAGCGGTTGGAATTGTGAGAGCCTTGCGCTCCAGGACCCCCAACCTCTCAGCGGCCAGCATTATCACGCGCTCGACCGGATCCGGTGCCTTCCTCGGCGCGTGCACCATGGCGATCATGCTCCCTATTCGTATGGCAGGGAAGGAAAGAATCGAATGGCAGGATCGGGCCTGGAGGCTCCTCGAGAATAAGGGGCAAGTGGAGGTCGATAATTGGACTACGATGGGGATGGTGGCGGGGGTCGGAACGACTGCCGTGATCATGAGGAGGAATGCGCTGCGACTGCAAGTGTTGGACCATCTGGTAGGAGGAGCAGCACTTGGGAATTTGGCCGGCGTTA